CCCCAGGTCGACGAAGGCGTCCTTGGTCCCCATCAGGTGGTGGGAGCAGCCGCTGTCCAGCAAGACCACCGCCGGGTTCGCCTGCACCGCTGCTGCCATCGCCTGGAAATCCTCTCCGGCCTCCGGCGCCAGTGAGACGGTCGGCTCCACGACGCCGACCAGAGAGCACGACGCCGACTTGTCGTTGCTCCCCTTTCCGCTTGCAGAGGAGTCGGCGTCCTTCGCCGAGGTCGACGACTTGGTCGACTGCTTCTCCTTGCGCGGCTGACTTCCTCCTCGACGAGATCGACGACTGCCAGACCTCCCGCGGCCTCCCTTGTCGTCGTCGTCCGAGTCACTGCGGTCGGGGCACTCGAAGGAGAGGTGGTCGGGGTCGCCGCACAGCCAGCACTCCCGACGTCGACTTCCTCCTCCTCGGCCGTTGTCCTTGGTCGACTTCTTCTTGTCGACCTCCTTGGCCGACTTCGAGCCACTGCTACCACCGCCGCCAGACTGTCCACGCTGCCCCGGTCGACCGCCTTGTTTCGCCGGGGCGACGTAGTTCACCTGCGCCAGGAGCTCTTGGGACCGCTCGGCCTCCTGCATCGCCTCGTCCTGCAGGATGTACGAGGTCAACGTGTCCTCGTTGAGCGTCGCCCGCGTGCTCGGCGCCATCGACAGCCGCTTCAGCAGGTTGTAGCTGCTCGGAAGTCCCTGCATGACATGGGTGACGTACGACGCCGTCGAGTACTCCGCACCGGCCATTCTGATGGTGGCGAGAATTCGCCGGGCCCGGTTGCAGTAGTCGGTCGCCGTCTCCTGGTCGCCCATACGCAGGTGTGTCAGCTGCCCCTCCAGTTGGGCGATGAACAAGTCGTCGGTGACTTGGTAGGTCGACTCAATGAAGTGCCACGCCTGGTGGCCGGCGTCGACGTACTCCCGGCACCACTTCAAGGCGATCTGCACTCCCGGCGAGCAGCACCGCGAGATGACCGTGAAGGTCAACAGCTGCACGGCGCGGAACTCATTTGCGCGCAAGTCGGGGTCGACCGGCGTCTCCACAGTGCCGCGAGCAAAGCTGATGAGCCCGGCCATCTCCAGCTGGGGCTCGATGGCTTCCTTCCAGGTGAGTATGTCGGGTCGACCGACCAGCGGGGGAGTCACCGAGATCCTATCCGGCGTGAACTTGAAGTAGCCGTAGCTCGGCGCAATTCCGCCCGCCGTCACCTGGGACGCCGACATCGGCGTCAACCCGCTTCGTCGACCTCCGACGTCGCCCTGCGAGGTGCCCACAGCCGACGTCGACCGCCTCCCTCGCCCTTGAACGCCGCCAACTTCGTCGGCGTGAATCACACCACGCTGCCTCGACGTGCCTCCCGCACTGCTGCCGACTTGGTCGCCTCCAGCGTTGACACCCAGGTCGACGCCGCCCTCGGTGTTCACCGGTCGAGGAGAAGCAGGCCGAGAAGGGTGCTCCGTCGCCCACAAGGAACGGATGCCAGCCTCGACGACCGCCCACGGCAGGTCGCCATACTCGTTGGCCTCGTGCTTCCTCCTCGCGTTTTCCAGCCGTGCCTCCAGGGTGTCCACCACCCCCGTGTCACCTACGGCTACTACCATAGTGACTATCGCACAGCTGCCGGCCTACGAACAACTTAGGTAAGGTGCCTACTAAGTCGACTAGACTGAAAGGTAAGTCGTTGTGCCGTCCACGCTCACCGCACCATGCGGAGATAACTATAGCAACGGGAGCTAGACTACGGGCTAGGCACGTGTGCTCGTGTGATCTCTGCGTTCTCTGGTCCTTAGACGTTTTCCTGATGCACACACTGCTTGCTAGTTCATAAGGCAATTTGGCAAGAGTTTCACTAGAAAAAGTTGACAACAATGATACAATGAAGTTGGCAACACAAGGCTACATCAGAGCTAGGATGCAAGCAGGTCGACTGCCAGCGCAGCACGGTCGACCGCGTGCCAGCACGACTTGGTCGACCGCGCTCCAGCAGTGCAGAGACGCGGCTTGCCAACGCTGCAGGTCGACGGCGTGACAACCGTGCTAGTCGACGGCGTGCCAGCGTTGCTCCTGCAGTCCAGCAGCGCACCAGCTTCGCAGGTGCTCGTAGGTGATTGGCGCGCACTGCTTCGTCACCTGCACAGCGCACACACCAAGTCCACCTCGTGCTGACGACCGCACCTCATCCGCCAGGTCGACCTCGGGATACCACCACCGAGGTCGTCCTCGCCAACTTCGCCTGAGCGACCTTCGCGTGCCTTCGCAGACCCTCGTCACCCAGGTAACCTGGTCGACCAGGCAACCAGGTCGACCAGCCGTTCCCGTGCGTGCCCGTCGACCTCCCAAGTCGACGACCACTTCCGGTCAACCTCCCCAGGTCGACCACTGCCTCTGGTATGTGCCGGTCGACCTCCCAAGTCGACGGCTACCTCCAGTCGACCTCCCCAGGTCGACCACTACTCCCTGGTCGACCAGATCTAGGTCGACGTCACTCCTGGTCGACCAGAGGGTCTGGTCGACGTCCCAGGTCGACCAGAAGAGATTGGTCGACTTCCCAGGTCGACCAGAAGGGCTGGTCGACTTCCCAGGTCGACCAGAAGGGCTGGTCGACTTCCCAGGTCGACCAGAAGGGCTGGTCGACTTCCCAGGTCGACCAGAAGGGGTTGGTCGACTTCCCAGGTCGACCAGACGGACTGGTCGACTTCCCAGGTCGACCAGAAGGGGTTGGTCGACTTCCCAGGTCGACCAGAAGGGCTGGTCGACTTCCCAGGTCGACCAGCCAAAGGTGGCGCCCTCCTGAAGTCGGCGCCCTCCTGAAGTCGGCGCCCATGCAGTGGCTCCCCGTGCAGGTCGACCAACCTCGTCGACCAACTCGCCCACTGCTGCAGGTCGGCTGCACCCTACACCCGACCACGAAGTCGGCTTCGCCCAAGCGAGGACGGGGCCAACACCCAACTCCCGTTGACAAGAGATGCATGGCATGGGGAGATGCATGGCATGGGGAGATGCATGGCATGGGGAGATGCATGGCATGGGGAGATGCATGGCATGGGGAGATGCATGGCATGGGGAGATGCATGGCATGGGGAGATGCATGGCATGGGGAGATGCATGGCATGGGGAGATGCATGGCATGGGGAGATGCATGGCATGGGGAGATGCATGGCATGGGGAGATGCATGGCATGGGGAGATGCATGGCATGGGGAGATGCATGGCATGGGGAGATGCATGGCATGGGGAGATGCATGGCATGGGGAGATGCATGGCATGGGGAGATGCATGGCATGGGGAGATGCATGGCATGGGGAGATGCATGGCATGGGGAGATGCATGGCATGGGGAGATGCATGGCATGGGGAGATGCATGGCATGGGGAGATGCATGGCATGGGGAGATGCATGGCATGGGGAGATGCATGGCATGGGGAGATGCATGGCATGGGGAGATGCATGGCATGGGGAGATGCATGGCATGGGGAGATGCATGGCATGGGGAGATGCATGGCATGGGGAGATGCATGGCATGGGGAGATGCATGGCATGGGGAGATGCATGGCATGGGGAGATGCATGGCATGGGGAGATGCATGGCATGGGGAGATGCATGGCATGGGGAGATGCATGGCATGGGGAGATGCATGGCATGGGGAGATGCATGGCATGGGGAGATGCATGGCATGGGGAGATGCATGGCATGGGGAGATGCATGGCATGGGGAGATGCATGGCATGGGGAGATGCATGGCATGGGGAGATGCATGGCATGGGGAGATGCATGGCATGGGGAGATGCATGGCATGAGAGCACGAAACATCAAAGGGTTCTAGAGCGCCCTGTCATCCCCCCAACCCCTCAAACACCAAACACCCCAAACCCCACAAGACCCCCAAACCCCCAAAACTCCCAAACCCCCAAAACCCCCAAACCCGCAAAACCCCCCAATCTCCCTCACGACGCACACCCCAGCACCCACGAGTCGGAAGGCGGCAGGTACTCGGGCGGCAGCACCTGCCCCTTCATCTCCCAAAACACCAGAAACCCCAAAACCCCCCAAACCCACAACCACCCCCTCAAACCAAACCCCTTCGTAAAGCACACCCAGAATTGTCCTGTGTGCCCACCCACCCACCAGTCGGAAGGCGTAGTATTCAGGCGGAGGCACCTGCCCCTTCATCTCCTTGAACGCGCGCCCAAAGCTGCCCTGCGTCCCGCCGAGCTGCTCCTGCATACTAGGCGCTGTGCTGTATATCTACACACGGAGGGCCGTAAAGCGGTCTGTTATCGCCCAAACCACCCACCAGTCGGAAGGCGTAGTATTCAGGTGGAGGCACCTGCCCCTTTATCTCCTTGAATGCGCGCCCAAAGCTGCCCTGCGACCCGCCGAACTGCAGTTGCGTACCAGGTCTGGTCTCTACACTACTCCCCAACCGCCGAAACCACCCAGAACACCGAAACCCCAGAAACCCACAACACCCCCAGCCCAAACCCCCCTCTAAAAAAGGGCATCGTCAGTGAACCCACCAGTCGGAAGGCGTAGTACTCAGGTGGGGGCACCTGCCCTCTCATCTCCTTGAACGCACGCCCAAAGCTGCCCTGCGACCCGCCAAACTCGCGCGCCCTCTGCAGCAGCCTTGACAGGCGGCGGTCGCCCCTTGAGAGCACAGCCTGAGGATGATTGGATAGAGGGAATCCAAGGGCATGAGGGAGAGTGTTGACACAGGTGGGTACAGGTCAGGAGCAGCACAGCAACACTGTACAGGTCAGGCGCAGGGCAGCAACACTGTATAAAAGCAGTGGCTCGTGCGGGACGGGACTGCATGCACAACGCATGTGAGTGAGCACTGCAGGTTGAGTTCAGCACCCCACACGCCATACACTCATGAATCTCACCAGCCTCCCCAGTCTTCCCACACCTGCCAAGCACACCCCCAACCACGGACGGATCTGTGAACTGGCTCTTAAGGCGACAATCATGCAACCACTTATTCATTATCCCACCTCCCACATGCTTAAATCTCGCACAGCACGTCACCATCTGTACACTCAAACCATTCTCCTTCTGCCTCACGCTCCCCTTCTGACTCCCCCTCTCCCCCGCCCGCCTGCCACACGCTCCACTTGCAGCTCTCAAGGCGGAACACCACGTTCACATGTGCTAGAAGTTGAGTTGAAGACGTCTCAATACTATCCACAAGAGTGTGGATCTAGGCACCAAGGTAGAAACAAGTGAACAGCCCTTCTCTCCCCCACCTGCCACACGCTCCACTTGTAGCTCTCAGGGAGGGATTCCACACCCTCAGCCGTGCCTCTGTTGCAAGCAAGGTAGGAACAAGCAAGCAGTCCACCTCCCACGCATTCATACCACCACCCACCTGCCACACGCTCCACTTGTAGCTCTCAGGGCGGAACTCCACACCCTCCTTGCGCATCTCCTTCTCCAGCACCCTCAGCCGACCCTCTGCTGCTGCCTGCACCGGCTGCCACTGGAACGGCGTGTGTGCCTAAACCAAAGGGGGGAGGAGGGGTGGGGGAGGCAAGGGGGGACACAGTGCGCAGTGTTGTGCCAAGTGCTGTGGTGGGATGTGGCAAACCGCTTCTTCTCCAGCACTCTCAGCCGACCCTTCACCCGCGCCTCTGCTGCTGCCTGCACCGGCAGAAGAGATTGGGGCGGGTGGAGCGGGGAAGGGGGAGGGGGCGAGCAACACAATAATGAGCTGATTTGAGCTGAGGTGTGGTGAGCAAACAAACTTCTTCTCCAGCACTCTCAGCCGCGCCTCTGCTGCCGCCTGCACTGGCTGCCACTGGAACGGCGTGTGCGCCTGGCTCAAAAAGGGTGATGGGCGGAGGTGGGGTGAGAGGGGAGGGGACACAATAAGGAGCTGATGCGGGGAAGCGATGGGGGGTGTGATGAACAACTTTAGCCTTCTCCAGCACTCTCAGCCACGCCTCTGCTGCTGCCTGCACCGGCTGCCACTGGAAGGGCGTGTGCGCCTCACAAGCGGAGGGAATAGCATAACATGAGGAGCTGATTATGGGAAGTGCTGGGTTGGGTAGTGGCAACCACTCCTTCTCCAGCACCCTCAGCCGCGCCTCTGCTGCTGCCTGCACCGGCTGCCACTGGAACGGCGTGTGCGCCTGGCAGAAGGGGGTTGGGGGGGGCGGAAGAGGAAGAACACGACGAGGAGCTCATTCGCGGATGCTCCAGGGAATGTTGGGAGTGTGCACAAACAACCATTTCTTCCATCATTCTTCAGCAATCTGGGTGTCCCTCTAAAAAACAATGACGGGCGACTCAAGTATCACCTTGGGAACGAAGGTGGAGCATCCAAGGGTGAGCTTGAGGCAGGGAACCACCCTCCTTGTTTTGAGCCTTGAGGCGCTTCTAAGGTAAAAATGTGAATAACACACCCGAGTGTGAACTGAGTGACCTTTAAGTCGATTCATGATTCACCTTGGGAACAAAGGTGGAGCATCCAAGGGTGAGCTTGAAGCGGGGTGCAGCCTTCCTCAGCTCCCTCATCTATCATTTCCACTGTCCCTGCCACACGAATTTTTAGAGAACTTAGAAACTCAATCTATGTGTTACCTTGGGAACGAAGGTGGAGCATCCAAGGGTGAGCTTGAGGCGGGGAGCAGCTTTCCTCAATTCCCTCATCATGCCCACCGTCTCTGCCACGTCAGCATCCGTCTGCCACGCAGGCAGGCATGCCGGCCAGGAAAAAGGGAGCAGCGTGCATGTACATACGGTGAGTAGTGAGTACTTTGGCGCACACACACAGCATGCACATACGGTGTGCTATGCTATGTATGTACCTACAACTACCTGTGCACTATGTACGCAGCGACAATGATTCTGGTATGCAGTTAACAATGATTCTGGTATGCAGTTAACAATGATTCTGGTATGCAGTTAACAATGATTCTAGTATGCAGTTAACAATGATTCTGGTATGCAGTTAACAATGATTCTGGTATGCAGTTAACAATGATTCTGCTAAGTATGTATTTGATTGAACAACTCGAGGGTCAAGCGAGCCACTCGGCGGACCTCACTGGGCAGCCCAACCATGCCGTAGAGCTTCAGACCCGACAGGCCCCCCTCCTGTGCGTTGAGGTGTCTTTTGAGTCAACTCAAAAGTCAACTCGTGGAGGATGAAGCGAGTCACTGGGCAGATGGACGCACCTCACTGGGCAGCCCAACCATGTCGTAGAGCTTCAACCCTGACAGCCCCCCCTCCTGTATGGGGTTCCATTGGACTTGTGGTCTGAAGAAGGCTCGAAGGGCCAAAAGGCATGGCTCCTGTATGGGGCTCCATTACCTCACTGGGGAGCCCAACCATGCCGTAGAGCTTCAACCCCGACAGTCCGCCCTCCTGTGCGTTGACTGCTGCTGCTACGATGTCTGCGGAATCCAGCTGAGATGATGAAGAGGCTCACGCACGTGGGGGAGGGTTTGGGAGAAGGGGAAAGAGGGGAAGGAACAAGTTTCAGGGCTCACTGCTGCTGAGATGAAGTCAGCTGAGTCCAGCTGACATGATGAGACGAGATGAGGCGAGGCAAGGCGAGGCTCACACGCAATGGGGGGTGAAGAAAAATCTCGAAGCACTTCCTTCCTCCCACACTAACTACCTTCTTGTTCAGCGCACTACGTTCTTTCTCACCGCACTGCATTCTTTCTCACAGCACTACGTTCCTGTACACCGCACTACATACCTTCTTGTTCAACGCAGTACATTCTTGCTCGCAGCACTTCCATTCCTGTTCACCGCACTACATTCCTGTTCACCGCACTGCATACCTTCTTGTTCACCACGCGCCGCATGCGCTCGGAACCGCTCTCAACCGCTATGGTGAGCGACCGAGTCCCTGACTGTGCCAAGGCCGCTGCGAGCTTGGGGGTGACAGTGTTGGTGCGCACTGATGCTATGCTGATGTCACGTGTGGGGGGGAAGGAAGGGGACGAGGGAATGAGAGGCATACATGCAATGTAAGCCAGTGTAAGCCAATCTAAGGAAATGCAAGGCAGTGCAAGGCAAGTGACGGCAAGGCCGCTGCGAGCTTGGGGACACTGTGTGGGTGCGCACTGATGCAACGCTGACGTGTGGGGGAAGACGGGGGGAGGGAATGAGAACACTGTTTACAATGCAGGGCAAAGCAGCGCCACTGCAAGGTTGAGGGTCAATGTGTTGGTGCGCACTGATGCAATGCTGGTGTGGGGGAAGGCGGGGGGAAGAGAACGAGAACACTGTATACAACGCAAGGCAACGCAGCGCCACTGCCAGCTTGAGGGTCAATGTGTTGGTGCGCACTGATGCAATGCTGGTGTGGGGGAAGGCGGGGGGAAGAGAACGAGAACACTGTATACAACGCAAGGCAACGCAGCGCCACTGCCAGCTTGAGGGTCAATGTGTTGGTGCGCACTGATGCAATGCTGGTGTGGGGGAAGGCGGGGGGAAGAGAACGAGAACACTGTATGCAACGCAAGGCAACGCAGCGCCACTGCCAGCTTGGGGGTCAATGTGTTGGTGCGCACTGATGCAATGCTGGTGTGGGGGAAGGCGGGGGGAAGAGAACGAGAACACTGTATACAACGCAAGGCAACGCAGCGCCACTGCCAGCTTGAGGGTCAATGTGTTGGTGCGCACTGATGCAATGCTGGTGTGGGGGAAGGCGGGGGGAAGAGAACGAGAACACTGTATACAACGCAAGGCAACGCAGCGCCACTGCCAGCTTGAGGGTCACTGTGTTGGTGCGCACTGATGCAATGCTGGTGTGGGGGAAGGCGGGGGGAAGAGAACGAGAACACTGTATACAACGCAAGGCAACGCAGCGCCACTGCCAGCTTGGGGGTCAATGTGTTGGTGCGCACTGATGCAATGCTGGTGTGGGGGAAGGCGGGGGGAAGAGAACGAGAACACTGTATACAACGCAAGGCAACGCAGCGCCACTGCCAGCTTGAGGGTCAATGTGTTGGTGCGCACTGATGCAATGCTGGTGTGGGGGAAGGCGGGGGGAAGAGAACGAGAACACTGTATACAACGCAAGGCAACGCAGCGCCACTGCCAGCTTGAGGGTCACTGTGTTGGTGCGCACTGATGCAATGCTGGTGTGGGGGAAGGCGGGGGGAAGAGAACGAGAACACTGTATACAACGCAAGGCAACGCAGCGCCACTGCCAGCTTGGGGGTCAATGTGTTGGTGCGCACTGATGCAATGCTGGTGTGGGGGAAGGCGGGGGGAAGAGAACGAGAACACTGTATACAACGCAAGGCAATGCAGCGCCACTGCCAGCTTGAGGGTCAATGTGTTGGTGCGCACTGATGCAATGCTGGTGTGGGGGAAGGCGGGGGGAAGAGAACGAGAACACTGTATACAACGCAAGGCAACGCAGCGCCACTGCCAGCTTGAGGGTCACTGTGTTGGTGCGCACTGATGCAATGCTGGTGTGGGGGAAGGCGGGGGGAAGAGAACGAGAACACTGTATACAACGCAAGGCAACGCAGCGCCACTGCCAGCTTGAGGGTCACTGTGTTGGTGCGCACTGATGCAATGCTGGTGTGGGGGAAGGCGGGGGGAAGAGAACGAGAACACTGTATACAATGCAAGGCAACGCAGCGCCACTGCCAGCTTGAGGGTCACTGTGTTGGTGCGCACTGATGCAATGCTGGTGTGGGGGAAGGCGGGGGGAAGAGAACGAGAACACTGTATACAACGCAAGGCAACGCAGCGCCACTGCCAGCTTGAGGGTCACTGTGTTGGTGCGCACTGATGCAATGCTGGTGTGGGGGAAGGCGGGGGGAAGAGAACGAGAACACTGTATACAACGCAAGGCAATGCAGCGCCACTGCCAGCTTGAGGGTCACTGTGTTGGTGCGCACTGATGCAATGCTGGTGTGGGGGAAGGCGGGGGGAAGAGAACGAGAACACTGTATACAACGCAAGGCAACGCAGCGCCACTGCCAGCTTGAGGGTCACTGTGTTGGTGCGCACTGATGCAATGCTGGTGTGGGGGAAGGCGGGGGGAAGAGAACGAGAACACTGTATACAACGCAAGGCAACGCAGCGCCACTGCCAGCTTGAGGGTCACTGTGTTGGTGCGCACTGATGCAATGCTGGTGTGGGGGAAGGCGGGGGGAAGAGAACGAGAACACTGTATACAACGCAAGGCAACGCAGCGCCACTGCCAGCTTGAGGGTCACTGTGTTGGTGCGCACTGATGCAATGCTGGTGTGGGGGAAGGCGGGGGGAAGAGAACGAGAACACTGTATACAACGCAAGGCAACGCAGCGCCACTGCCAGCTTGAGGGTCACTGTGTTGGTGCGCACTGATGCAATGCTGGTGTGGGGGGAAAGGCACGGGACAAGGGAAATAAGAAAAAAGAATGCAACGTAAGGCAAGGCAACACAAGGATTCTGCGAGCTTGAGGGTCATTGTGTTGTTGCACATTGATGCAACGCTGGTGTGGGGGGAAAGGCAGCGGACAAGGGAAATGAGAGAAGTGTACGCAATGCAATGCAAGGCGAAACAACACAAGGATTCTGCGAGCTTGGAGGTCACTGTGTTGGTGCGCGCTGATGCGACGCTGGTGTGGCATGTGTGGAAGGGAGGGGATGAGGAAAACGAGAGAAGAGCATGCCGTGCATGCAACGTAAGGCAAGGCAACGCTGCTGCCAGATGGCAGTGCATAGCACAGCAGGGAAGGGAAGGGCAGGGCAGGGAGTGAGGGCGTACCTGAGGCGAATGTCCTTCATGTGCGGCTGCAGCAGGTACGAGAGAAGACTGTCAAACTGTGGGTGCTGCGTGACTGACGCTCCCAGCAGGCCGATGCGGTTGGTCACCTGTGATGCAAGCGAGGGTGTAAAGTGCTGGTTTGCAGAGGAGCATCGAATAGACTTCTGTCTGTCAATCGGCAGATGAATTAGAAGCCTGCATGGCATGGCACAGAACGGAAGCGATTTGACCTGTGGATGGTGGTATGAGGTGCACTTACATGCAACGCTCGCTTCAACGAGGCGCGTATGAGGCTTACTCATGTGCTGACCTGGCCTCCACCAGTGGCAGACATGAGGTGTGATAATACGCGTGTCACTCATTATAGCGTGGATGAGGTGTACCTACCTGCAGGCCTTGCTCTATAGCGGGAATGAGGTTTAGTCTACTCACCTGCAGAACTTTCTTCATAGCGAGGATCAGGTGTAGTTCCCTGCAGGCCCTCTATATAGCGAGAGCAGGGTGTAGTTTACTCACCTGCAGGCCTCTCTCTATAGCAGGGATGAGGTGTAGTCACCTGCAGGCCTCTCTCTATAGCAGGGATGAGGTGTAGTCACCTGCAGGCCTCTCTCTATAGCAGGGATGAGGTGTAGTCACCTGCAGGCCTCTCTCTATAGCAGGGATGAGGTGTAGTCACCTGCAGGCCTCTCTCTATAGCAGGGATGAGGTGTAGTCACCTGCAGGCCTCTCTCTATAGCAGGGATGAGGTGTAGTCACCTGCAGGCCTCTCTCTATAGCAGGGATGAGGTGTAGTCACCTGCAGGCCTCTCTCTATAGCAGGGATGAGGTGTAGTCACCTGCAGGCCTCTCTCTATAGCAGGGATGAGGTGTAGTCACCTGCAGGCCTCTCTCTATAGCAGGGATGAGGTGTAGTCACCTGCAGGCCTCTCTCTATAGCAGGGATGAGGTGTAGTCACCTGCAGGCCTCTCTCTATAGCGGGGATGAGGTGTAGTCACCTGCAGGCCTCTCTCTATAGCAGGAATGAGGTGTAGTCACCTGCAGGCCTCTCTCTATAGCAGGGATGAGGTGTAGTCACCTGCAGGCCTCTCTCTATAGCGGGGATGAGGTGTAGTCACCTGCAGGCCTCTCTCTATAGCAGGGATGAGGTGTAGTCACCTGCAGGCCTCTCTCTATAGCGGGGATGAGGTGTAGTCACCTGCAGGCCTCTCTCTATAGCAGGGATGAGGTGTAGTCACCTGCAGGCCTCTCTCTATAGCAGGGATGAGGTGTAGTCACCTGCAGGCCTCTCTCTATAGCAGGGATGAGGTGTAGTCACCTGCAGGCCTCTCTCTATAGCAGGGATGAGGTGTAGTCACCTGCAGGCCTCTCTCTATAGCAGGGATGAGGTGTAGTCACCTGCAGGCCTCTCTCTATAGCAGGGATGAGGTGTAGTCACCTGCAGGCCTCTCTCTATAGCAGGGATGAGGTGTAGTCACCTGCAGGCCTCTCTCTATAGCGGGGATGAGGTGTAGTCACCTGCAGGCCTCTCTCTATAGCAGGGATGAGGTGTAGTCACCTGCAGGCCTCTCTCTATAGCAGGGATGAGGTGTAGTCACCTGCAGGCCTCTCTCTATAGCAGGGATGAGGTGTAGTCACCTGCAGGCCTCTCTCTATAGCAGGGATGAGGTGTAGTCACCTGCAGGCCTCTCTCTATAGCAGGGATGAGGTGTAGTCACCTGCAGGCCTCTCTCTATAGCAGGGATGAGGTGTAGTCACCTGCAGGCCTCTCTCTATAGCAGGGATGAGGTGTTGTAACCTGCAGGCCTCTCTCTATAGCAGGGATGAGGTGTAGTCACCTGCAGGCCTCTCTCTATAGCAGGGATGAGGTGTAGTCACCTGCAGGCCTCTCTCTATAGCGGGGATGAGGTGTAGTCACCTGCAGGCCTCTCTCTATAGCGGGGATGAGGTGTAGTCACCTGCAGGCCTCTCTCTATAGCGGGGATGAGGTGTAGTCACCTGCAGGCCTCTCTCTATAGCAGGGATGAGGTGTAGTCACCTGCAGGCCTCTCTCTATAGCGGGGATGAGGTGTAGTCACCTGCAGGCCTCTCTCTATAGCGGGGATGAGGTGTAGTCACCTGCAGGCCTCTCTCTATAGCAGGGATGAGGTGTAGTCACCTGCAGGCCTCTCTCTATAGCAGGGATGAGGTGTAGTCACCTGCAGGCCTCTCTCTATAGCGGGGATGAGGTGTAGTCACCTGCAGGCCTCTCTCTATAGCAGGGATGAGGTGTAGTCACCTGCAGGCCTCTCTCTATAGCGGGGATGAGGTGTAGTCACCTGCAGGCCTCTCTCTATAGCAGGGATGAGGTGTAGTCACCTGCAGGCCTCTCTCTATAGCAGGGATGAGGTGTAGTCACCTGCAGGCCTCTCTCTATAGCAGGGATGAGGTGTAGTCACCTGCAGGCCTCTCTCTATAGCAGGGATGAGGTGTAGTCACCTGCAGGCCTCTCTCTATAGCAGGGATGAGGTGTAGTCACCTGCAGGCCTCTCTCTATAGCAGGGATGAGGTGTAGTCACCTGCAGGCCTCTCTCTATAGCAGGGATGAGGTGTAGTCACCTGCAGGCCTCTCTCTATAGCAGGGATGAGGTGTAGTCACCTGCAGGCCTCTCTCTATAGCAGGGATGAGGTGTAGTCACCTGCAGGCCTCTCTCTATAGCAGGGATGAGGTGTAGTCACCTGCAGGCCTCTCTCTATAGCGGGGATGAGGTGTAGTCACCTGCAGGCCTCTCTCTATAGCGGGGATGAGGTGTAGTCACCTGCAGGCCTCTCTCTATAGCGGGGATGAGGTGTAGTCACCTGCAGGCCTCTCTCTATAGCGGGGATGAGGTGTAGTCACCTGCAGGCCTCTCTCTATAGCAGGGATGAGGTGTAGTCACCTGCAGGCCTCTCTCTATAGCGGGGATGAGGTGTAGTCACCTGCAGGCCTCTCTCTATAGCGGGGATGAGGTGTAGTCACCTGCAGGCCTCTCTCTATAGCAGGGATGAGGTGTAGTCACCTGCAGGCCTCTCTCTATAGCAGGGATGAGGTGTAGTCACCTGCAGGCCTCTCTCTATAGCGGGGATGAGGTGTAGTCACCTGCAGGCCTCTCTCTATAGCAGGGATGAGGTGTAGTCACCTGCAGGCCTCTCTCTATAGCAGGGATGAGGTGTAGTCACCTGCAGGCCTCTCTCTATAGCGGGGATGAGGTGTAGTCACCTGCAGGCCTCTCTCTATAGCAGGGATGAGGTGTAGTCACCTGCAGGCCTCTCTCTATAGCGGGGATGAGGTGTAGTCACCTGCAGGCCTCTCTCTATAGCAGGGATGAGGTGTAGTCACCTGCAGGCCTCTCTCTATAGCAGGGATGAGGTGTAGTCACCTGCAGGCCTCTCTCTATAGCAGGGATGAGGTGTAGTCACCTGCAGGCCTCTCTCTATAGCAGGGATGAGGTGTAGTCACCTGCAGGCCTCTCTCTATAGCAGGGATGAGGTGTAGTCACCTGCAGGCCTCTCTCTATAGCGGGGATGAGGTGTAGTCACCTGCAGGCCTCTCTCTATAGCGGGGATGAGGTGTAGTCACCTGCAGGCCTCTCTCTATAGCAGGGATGAGGTGTAGTCACCTGCAGGCCTCTCTCTATAGCAGGGATGAGGTGTAGTCACCTGCAGGCCTCTCTCTATAGCGGGGATGAGGTGTAGTCACCTGCAGGCCTCTCTCTATAGCGGGGATGAGGTGTAGTCACCTGCAGGCCTCTCTCTATAGCAGGGATGAGGTGTAGTCACCTGCAGGCCTCTCTCTATAGCAGGGATGAGGTGTAGTCACCTGCAGGCCTCTCTCTATAGTGGGGATGAGGTGTAGTCACCTGCAGGCCTCTCTCTATAGCAGGGATGAGGTGTAGTCACCTGCAGGCCTCTCTCTATAGCAGGGATGAGGTGTAGTCACCTGCAGGCCTCTCTCTATAGCGGGGATGAGGTGTAGTCACCTGCAGGCCTCTCTCTATAGCAGGGATGAGGTGTAGTCACCTGCAGGCCTCTCTCTATAGCGGGGATGAGGTGTAGTCACCTGCAGACCTCTCTCTATAGCGGGGATGAGGTGTAGTCACCTGCAGGCCTCTCTCTATAGCGGGGATGAGGTGTAGTCACCTGCAGGCCTCTCTCTATAGCGGGGATGAGGTGTAGTCACCTGCAGGCCTCTCTCTATAGCGGGGATGAGGTGTAGTCACCTGCAGGCCTCTCTCTATAGCAGGGATGAGGTGTAGTCACCTGCAGGCCTCTCTCTATAGCAGGGATGAGGTGTAGTCACCTGCAGGCCTCTCTCTATAGCGGGGATGAGGTGTAGTCACCTGCAGGCCTCTCTCTATAGCAGGGATGAGGTGTAGTCACCTGCAGGCCTCTCTCTATAGCGGGGATGAGGTGTAGTCACCTGCAGGCCTCTCTCTATAGCGGGGATGAGGTGTAGTCACCTGCAGGCCTCTCTCTATAGCGGGGATGAGGTGTAGTCACCTGCAGGCCTCTCTCTATAGCGGGGATGAGGTGTAGTCACCTGCAGGCCTCTCTCTATAGCGGGGATGAGGTGTAGTCACCTGCAGGCCTCTCTCTATAGCGGGGATGAGGTGGTCTTCAAGAGCGGCAGGGCGGAAGGGCAGAGAAGAGTAGCTGGCGAGGCAGAAGCGACAGACCTCGGGACAGCTGCGCACCACCTGAGAGGGGAGAGTTAGGGGTTGAGAGAGAGTGTGTGATTGGACGAGAGGGGGCAGGGATGAAGGAACGGCAGAGATGAGTAGCTGGTGAGGCAGAAACAACAGACCTTGGGGCAGCTGCGCACCACCTGAGAGGGAGAGAGGGCGTGGGAGAGAGAGAGCGACGGGAAGGGAGGGGGAAGGAACGATGGGAAGGCGGCGGGAAGTGGATGGCGAGGCAGAACCGACAGACCTCAGGGCAGCTGCTGCGCACCACCTGATGTGACATAAGTCAAGGAGGAAAGGTAGGAAGTGCGAGATGGATGGGGTGCGGTGCTGGCGTGGGTTGCTCAAGTAACAAAATAGACAGCGCTCTCACGCACACACCTCCACCATGTAGATCCCCTCCCATGCCATGCGAGGCGACACCACAGTGGACGTGGCCAGCTGCTTCCCCTCCTTGAGTCATCTCACACACTTTGGAGCACACAGCACAAAACAACACAGATATCAATCGCACCTCCACCATGTAAATGCCTTCCCACGCCATGCGAGGAGACACGATAGTGGACGTGGCCAGCTGCTGCCCCGGTACGTCTGGGCCGACTCACAAGTCATCTCTTCGCACACTTAAGAGCACGCACAGCACAACAGACAGACACACATCAATCGCACCTCCACCATGTAGATGCCTTCCCACGCCATGCGAGGCGACACCACAGTGGACGTTGCCAGCTGCTTGCCCCGATAAGTCTGTGTCGACTCACAAGTAGGAGAACACAACACAGAGTCGTACACAGATAGCAAGCTCACCTCCACCATGTAAATGCCTTCCCACGCCATGCGAGGCGACACCACAGTGGACGTCGCCAGCTGCTTGCCTTCCTATGTCTGAGTCGGCTCACACAAATCACCTCCTAGCACACAGAACAACACAGACACACTCCAATCGCTCGCACCTCCACCATGTATATTCCCTCCCACGCCATGCGAGGAGACACCACATTGGACGTCGCCAGCTGCTTGCCCCGGTGCGTCTGCGCCGACTCACAAATAACCTTTTCGCACACTTAGGAGGACGCACAGCACAACAGACAGACACACATCAATCTCACCTCCACCATATATATCCCTTCCCACGCCATGCGAGGTGACACCACAGTGGACGTGGCCAGCTGCTTGCCGCGGTAAGTCTGCCTCTCCACCACCGCTGGAGCTGCCGGCAGCATCCCTGCACCACCGCTGCTGTTGCTGCTGCTGCTGCTGCTGCCGCTGCTGGTGCTGCTGCTGCTGCCAGCTGGCAGTTGCAGGGGTGACACGTCAGCAATGGGACCCGTCGGGCTGTGGTATTGCACCCGGTACAGCAGAGGCACGTACACCCCCGGCACCTGATTGGTTGGTTGTGGGGCGAGATGAATGAGAGAGAGGGTAGAGTGAGATGGTGGGTGGAGAGCGGCGATGAGCAGTTGCAGGGGAGGGGTCCAGGAGTGCTGCGGGTTTCCAGGGAGGTGAGGGTTTGGAAGATGTACAAGAGCAGGTTGAAATCGGCCAAGGATGTCGAATAAGCGGTGGGACTCACAAGCTGTAATGCCGGATTTCCAAACGGATCTCTCATCATTGCCACACTCCCACTAACCTGAGCAACTAACTAACCTGGGCAACTAACCTGAGCAACTAACCTGAACAACGCGCCAGAGCCAAAGAGTATTCCCAACCGCCTGCTGCTTCTGCTACCACCACCACACCACCACAAGTGCCTTACACCCCTCCTCCCAACACACACGCCTCAAACGTTGAGACGGCTCACAACTCACCTGAGCCAGAGCCGAGAGTGTTTCCAAGCGCCTGCTGCTTCTGCTGCTATCACTCGCTCCCTCAACCCTTTCTCCCCACACACACGCCCACTAACCTGAGCCAGAGCCGAGAGAATCTCCAACCGCCTGCTGCTTCTGCTATTATCACCACCACCACTCTCTCCCTCCACCCTTTCTCCCCACACACACGCCCACTAACCTGAGCCAGAGCTGAGAGCATTTCCAACCGCCTGCTGCTTCTGCTACCACCACCACACCACCACTAGCGCCTTCCACCCCTCCTCCCAACACACACGCCTCAAACGTTGAGGCGTCTCACATCTCACCTGAGCAAGAGCCGAGAGTATTTCCAACCGCCTGCTGCTTCTGCTGCTATCACTCGCTCCCTCCACCCCTCCTCCCGACACACACGCCTCGAACGCGTCCACGAAGCTTCCCAGAAGCTCCTCCCCATCCCCCATCAGAATCACGTCGAAGAAATCCGCAAACGGCTCCGGATTGGCCGAGAGAACCGCACCCCCTCCGAACACGAAACACGTGGATCCACTCTCCAACCGCTCCTCAGATCTCACCGGAACCCCCAGATCTTCTAGAATGTTCAGCACATTCACGTAATCTAATTCCCAGGAGAAGGAGAATCCGATCACATTAGGGTTTCGAGGGAAGGGATCGTGCGCGTCAGTGAACATGCGCGTGACGTGGATGGACGTGCAGGAGCAGAGGTACGCCCACACCAGTTGGTACCCGAGAGAGCAGATTCCGACGGTGTACTCGTTCGGGAACGCGTAGATGCACCTGATTGGCTCGCGCGAGGCTTCGTTATTGTCACTTCTGGTGCTGAATCCATTTGTGCTGCTGTTACTTGAGATATTGTTGCTGTCGGTGCTGCTACTGCTGGTGCAGGTAGGGTCGCCTGAGCGGGGATCGAACAGGAGAGTCTCGTCTTGGGAGAATCGAATAAGGTTCGCGATTTTTTGCTGATGTGTCAGCGCCTGATTCGACGGCTGCTTCTTCTCTTGCTGGCGCTGCTGCTATTTGCCCTTCTCCCCTTGCTGCTGCTGCGACTTGCCTCCTTTTCTCGCATTCTCTCGATTCTTCGTGGTTCTAGCTCTAACTCTCACCCCAAGGACCCTCCGCATTGGCTGGTCCGGTTTCCGTACGTTCTCGACCTCATTCCCCCAGAACGAATTCTTCCATCTGCTCCCGAATGTCGCGACACTCCCAAGGCGGCCGCCTGCAGACCGAAGCGTGAGAGCACCAGAAGGAAAAGCTGCCATTTGGAAGCGCTGAGAAGGACGCAAGTATGCAAAATGGAGGAGTTGCGTTTGGGCTCAATTGGGGCTGGGATTCTCGAGTTTCGGCTGGATTGGGCTGGTGGGAAGAAACTCGATACATGATTTCTCAATACCGTGGCTAACAGGCTCAACCTGATGCTGTGGCAGCAGTTGAACCTAATAGTTCAAACATATTAGAAAAATCTGCAGGTTCAAACCAAACACAACAATATGAAGTGGAAGCTAAGACATTTTGAGGCAATTTCTTCTTGCCCCAGCTGGGAATAAATAAAAAGAAATGGTTCAGTTCATCATGATTTTGTACGCGTCATGTCTGTTTTTAAGTTACCGTAGGCTATTTTTTTACACAACGTTCTAAGTAGATTTGGTCTTGGTATATGTTCGCTTATAGGCGAAATGATTTGGTGTACAATGGTCGTATTTCGGTATGTCGATTATTGTCACTGACAATGAACTGCAAGGTGGTCGAGATTCGCGTCTCCTGCAGCGCCGCTGGTTGCAGAGCAATCCTCCCTGCAGGCTTCCGCAGAAAAGTTCTAGCTGAGGCCTCGATCATGGTCGCCTTGTTGTCGATTAGTGATGGACGATCCGTAGCGCTTTAGTCTTGCTGAAACTCAAAATGTTGGTAATAATGGCGAATCGCTTGAGTCTACGCACGTACCTTCTTTTTCTTTGCTCCTTCGCGATCTTCCAAGCCAGCAGTCCTTTAGGAGACCTTCCCAATCCGGAATTCCGCGATGGAACACTCTCACCTGGCTACGAAATACACACGGAGCCACATAGAAGCAGCGATCATGGAATCGATCAATCCTTTAATGGTCAATCTAGTAACCAGAATCACGGTACGATCAGAGAAACGGGACTCGATAGTCAGGGGGATGGGCGGATGAATTCAGGCATCACGGAGCAAGCGAATGAGTGGTTGACGAGAGAATGGGACGAGGAAGCGAAGCCGATGCAGCTGTTACGACCGTCGCCGAATCATGATCGGTTGGAAGTGGTTCAGTCCACTCTCGACGTGTTGGAGAGAATACAGCAGCCCGTGGCTTTCGTGGCGGTCGTCGGCCCTTACCACGGGTGAGCAATTATCATATAAGTGTGTGGTCGTTTCCGGTAATTCTTATACTCTTTAGTGAGTGGTTCAGTGTAACATGAGTTGTTCTTTCCTGCCAGGTGTCCCTCGGCCTGGTCGATAGTGCTTTCCACAACGTGTCTTGTAAGACCTCCACGTATCCTGCCATCTTGGATCCCCCAGCAATTTTTTTGCACAACATTCCACTTCTACCCCACCCATCACCCAAACATTTCCCTTTCCTGTGTCCCTTCTCCACCCTCCCTCACCCTTCTCCACAAACCCCCTCTTCCACCTTCCCCACGGCAGGGGCAAGTCGTTTCTGCTGAACGTGCTGCTCAACTCCACACGCGGCTTCCCAGTGGGCACGCGCCCAGATCCGGAAACCCTGGGGCTGTGGGTGCGCGTGGTACCCCCTAAGCGACTGCAAGCACGCGACGGAGCGGTGGTGGTACTAGTGGACTCGGAGGGGCTATACGGGGAGGGCGCTTCACGGGCGTATGATGCCAAGCTGTTTGCTGTTGCCACACTGCTGTCTTCGCATCTAATCTACAACACCCTGCGCACTCTTGGTGAGTGGGGAACGGGGATAAGGACGGAGCGGTGGTGGTGCTGGTGGACTCGGAGGGGCTGTACGGGGAGGGTGCTTCAAGAGCATACGACATCAAGCTGTTTTCTGTTACTACTCTGCTGTCATCCCACCTCATCTACAACACCCTGCGTAACACGTTTCTGTACCTGTCTATACCTCCTCCTTCCAGGTGACGCGCAGTCAGTGGCAGCGTTGGCAGACCTAGCAAAGCAGGCACACGTGTTCAACCTGCAGAATTGGCTGCACTCGGGGGGGTGGGGGCCCACTCATACCCATTCTGCTGACACTGGTGATGCAGCTACTGCTGCTGCTAGTGCTGGTGCTTCTGGTGCTGGTGCCGCTACTGTTGCTGCTGCTGGTTCTGGTGCTGGTGCTGCTCCTTCTGCTGCTCCTGCAGCAGCATCATCCCACCTGCCTGACCCACGGCTTTTGCTGCAGACACTCACCTTCCCTCCGCTCACCTGGGTGGTACAAGGATTCGACCTCGACCTACAGCAGCAGGAAGACTCCCCTTCACCCCACTCCACCCCATCACACCCCTCCTCCTCTCGCCCCACCTCCACCCACCCCACAGCACCGCACACCACCTCATCCCACGCCTCCTCCTCCGTCTCCCCCATGGTGTACCTGCAACGCTACCTAGCAGCACACGCGCGCACGGGTGACCAATCCCTAGAAACCCTCTTTACACAGGGTATAGCGTGCCTCACTGTGCGCACGCCCACGGATATTAACAGGCTCCGAGAGGAGGTGGGCGGGGCGGGGCTGGGCGCTGCTGACGTGGAGCTCATGCCAGCGCTGCACCCGGAATACCTTGCTGACGTGGCGGCGGTGCGGAAGCGCGTGATTGGGGCGTTGGAGGCGAAGGGACCGGCTGGGCAGAAATTCACAGGGGAGACTGTCGGTGAGTGGATTTTGGGAGGATCCTTTCAACCGTCTCCCATCGCCCCTTCCCCTTTCTGTTCTGCTTTCATGTCCCCTCTCAGTGTGCTTACTGCCCCTTACATTTCGTGCCGTTCCAGGAAACACCTACTTTCTTTTGTCTCTTCCATGCTCCACTCACTCAACTTTCCTCTGCACCAGCATACCTGCTCCCGCTGCTCGTTACCTTTCTGAACAGTGAAATCCTAATAAACTTCCTGCTTCCGTTCCAACTTCCGTAATCTACCCAACTCGCTTTCCATGCCTTCCCTGCTGTATTCCTCTTCCCACCAGCTCGCCTGCTTCCCCTGCTGGTCCATTTCGTGAACAGTGACTTTCCGCTAAATGCCGAGCGCCACATACAACAAGTCATGCTGGACCTGCTGCTGGACGGCGCATTCGCCTCCGCCGTCCACTTCTTTCGTCTGCATGCCGATGCCTCCCTCGACCGATTCACTCGAGCCACCCGCGCTGCTGCTGCCAGTGCTGCCAGCGCTGCTGCTGGTGCTGGTGATAGGAGTGGGTTGCCTGCAGCTGCTGCTGCTTCTGCTGCGGACATGGGTGGGAGAGGTGAAGTGGGAGCGACATTTGCTGCTCGTGGCACTGGTGCAGAATGGGACATGAGCAGCACAGTATGGGACTTGAGCAGCTCTGCTGCAGAACCTGCTGCATCCCCTGTGCCAGGGGAGGGAGCTGGCACGCCCTCTGCTGCTGCGCTGCCCTCTGCATCCCCAGCATCTCGCCTGCTCTCAGCCACGTTCACAGCGGAGCACATGGAGCAAGTCCTTTCCAAGGCAGGTCTGCTCTCTCACTCTTTCCCATTCTTCCATGCTGTCCCTCTGTTGCCTGCTGCTCTATTTATCCCTACCACTCACCCTCCTGCGTTCACCTCTCCTCATCTGGCATGCGGACTGACTGGCCTTGCTTCGCTGTCTGCCAATGCCTCCTGTGGTCTCTGTTGCTCTTGGCTTCTGCTCCTGCATTCGGCCCTCCTTCCAGAGCAAGACGCGCAGCACTACTGCATGGCGCGCAGTGTGGGCGTGCCTGCAGACCGCTCCGCCATGACGTGTGGAGTGAGGCTCTTTGCCAAGCTGGACCACATCAAGCCACACTACCGGTGGGTGGGTGGTGTCTTGCTTAGGCTCTTTCAACCTGCGGAGTAAGCTTTTACCGAGCTAGACCTCATCAAGTCACACTACCTGTAGGTGTTCCTCAGGCTCCTCTTGTGAGGTGCCTCAGGAGTTTCCTGCTGACTGGTCCACCGTGACACATGGAGGCAGGCTCTATGCCAAGCCGGACTGGACCACATCAAGCCGCACACTACCACCAGTGATTGCCTTGTCTCCCGTCAGCTCCTCTTCTTAGGCGGCTCAATAATGGTGGCGGCTTGGCTCCTTTACGAATTCTCAATAGCGGTAGGTCTAGCAACGAGCACAGTGTGCACGTGGGGGTTACACTGGCAGTGCTGGCAGACTCTGACACTCCACTGCCTTTTGAGGCGCCTCAAAAGGTCTAGCAACGAGCACAATGTGCACGTGTGGTTGACGCTGGTAGCGCTGGCATACTTGGTGCACGTGGGGGTTACACTGGCAGTGCTGACAGACTCTCACACTCCACTGCCATCCCCTTCCTCCCGCACCCTTGCCCAGCGCCTCTCCCGCTCTGTTCACAGATCCAGCAACGAGCACAACATGCACGTAGCGCTGGCTGCACTGGCAGACGAGCCCTCGCCTTCTCTTCTTCCCTTCATCCCACCCATCTACGCCCCCTCTTATCTTGCCTTCTCTTTTTCTTCACAGATCCAGCAACGAGCACAACGTGCATGTGGCGCTGGCTGCACTGGCAGACGAGTTGCAGCAGGAAGCACACGAGGCTATCGCTGCCATTCCCCTCCCTCAGAGAGAGCAGCTGCTGGAGCAACAGTGTCAGGCTGTTCACACGGCAGCTGTTGACAGGTATGTTGCTTACCCAGCAAGTAGCACACACTTGCGGCCATCACTGCCATTCCCCTCCCACAGAGAGAGCAGCTGCTGGAACAGCAGTGTGAGGCTGTTCGCACGGCAGCTGTTGACAGGTGAGCCAGTTACCGTACCTGCCTATCGCCGCCATTCCCGCTTACAGCAAGCAGAACACGCGTCTGTGTCTCTGCCCTCTTTGTCCCGCAGAGAGCGCAGCAGTGGCAGGCTGTTTGCATGGCAGCTATTGACCAGCACTCTGTCCGACCACAGCAGCACCCTCTAGGCGAGTTGACTTTTGGGTCGACTCAAAAGTCAACTCGCTACAATGTCACATGGAGAGAGCAGCAGTGGCAGGCTGTTTGCATGGCAGCTATTGGCCAGCACTCTGGCCGACCACAGCAGCAGCCCCTTGGCTCCCTCCTGTGCCATGCTGCTCAGCAATTCTCCCAATCAGCACATTGACCATCCCCCACCATCCCGCTCCTTCACCCCTTTCACCATACCTCTTCAGGTTCACGGGTGCTCTGAGCAACCATAGCAGCAGCTCTCCAGCTCCCGTGGTTCTAAATATAAATCCCACTCTTTCCATTGACCCTCCCCCACCCTCCCGCTCCTTCACCCCGTCACCGCTCCTCTTCAGGTTCACAGCCGCTCTGGGCGACCACAGCAGCAGCCCTTTGGCTCCTGTGGTGCGCTCCCGCCTCGATGCTGACGTCAGCAGCCACTGCTCTGCTGCCACGTCAGCAAACGACCGGCTGATCGCCGCCCTGCTAGGCAAGGGGAGGGTGGCGTACTACCGCACCTACCATGACACCTTCCGGGCGGCATTTTTGTCCTATGCTGCTGCCCACGCTCATCCTCACTCCCACACCTCTGATGCCAACTCTGCTGATGCTGCACCTGCTGCTTCTGATGATGCTTCTGCCACTGCCACCACCAGCAAGAACAGCCCAAACACCTTCCCTTTACCAACCGACGACCCGCACCTCTTCTCCCACGCGCTCTTCGCCCTCCTCCCCTCCTCCACGCCCCCTCCCGCTCCCCTCTGGCTCCTCTCCCTCCACGCCAACGCCTCCCTTCTCGCCCAGGACGCCTTCTCTGCTGCAATCGCCCAGGGGGGCCTGGCTTGGGTGGTGCCTGGGCATGAGAGGTTTGACTTCTTTCTGTTTCAGGCGATGCAGTGGGGGAAGCAGCGGGAGAGGGAGGTGGGGGAGGAGAATGCGCGGAGAGTGCGGGGGTACTGTGGGGAGATGAGGGGGCGGCTGGTGGGGGAGTATCGGCGGCGCGTGGGGGAGATTCACCCACTGCCGGACAACGAGGAGGTTGTTGTAGCCAAGGTGAGGCTTGTGTTCACTATGCTTGCCCAGGGAAAGGCGTTCATAAGGTGAGTGGATGCGTGGGGAGTGCGGTGGAGGGGAGGGGGTTCTGTGGGGAGATGAGGGGGAGGCTGGTGGGGGAGTATCGGAGGCGCGTGGGGGAGATCTAACTGCTGCCAGACAACGAGGATGTGGTTGTGGCTAAGGTGAGACTCACTAAGTCAATGCCTGCCCAAAAACAGGTGTTTGTAAAGTGAGAGTGAAATGTGTGGGGAGATGAGGGGGAGTCTGGTGGGGGAGTATTGGAGGCGGGCGCGTGGGAAAATTTCGACCGCCGCCACTGAGAGAAGGAGGTTGTTGTGGCTACGGTGAGATTTGCTTTTCTTGAAACATTCGTACGTTAAGACGTCCGTATTTTGTTCAGAGAAAACGGAAGGCCGCCACTCCTTGAGGCGTTGTTGCCTTACATCCGAGGTTGAGTCGGAGGGGCTAATGGTATCTCTGTTAGCAACCTTTCCCACGCACTCAAAATGCGCGCATGGTGGGAGAGGGAGCTCGCGGTTGCTGGATTGGAACACCGCCACGTCGACGCTAACGGTCGGGTATGGCGTCAAGTGAATCGTGCTGAACTCGAACACCGTGGCCAAACATAATTACCCTACATGCAGCACGATTCACTTGACGCCATACCCGACCGTTCCCGTCGACGTGACAGTAATCCAGTCCAGCGACCGCGCGTTCCCTCTCCCACCATGCGCGCATTTCGAGTGCGTAGGAGAGGTTGCTAACGGAGATACCGTTAGCCCCTCCAACCCAACCTCGGACATAAAGCAACAACGCCTCGGGAAGCGGCCTCCCGTTTTCCCCAAACAAAATACGGACGTCTTGGGCGTACATGCAGTCGTACAGACTGCCTTCGACCCTGTTTTACTCCCCTTTCCCACTCCTCTTCACCAAATCCCCACCACTCCATCCACCCACCCCCCTTTACCTGCCCTCCTTGCTTTCACCCGTTGTTGCCCTTCCAGGCTCGCCATCTCGCCGCACTGGTTCTGGCCAATTACACCGCGGCAGTGCAGCCATACCTGCCATCAGCTTCGGTGGAGGAGGTTCGGGCACAGCTGCAGGCTCGGGTGGAGGAGGCTCGGCAGCGCCTGGTGGATCGGAACACGGAGCTCATGGCAGCGCTGTGCTTCGAACCTCTCCGGGACGCTCGGGACGAACTTAACATGCAGGTTCGGCCAGGGGGAGGGATTGTGGGGTTAAGGAACGTGAGAGAGAGGAGGGAGGAGGGAGGAGGGGGGTGGTTACAGAGGCCTGCTTCTGGGTTTTTTAAGTCGAGAGGGGTATATGGTGTTTGCATCGACTCGAAACACGACTGGGTTTGTAAAGTCGCGGGGGGTAAATGGGGTGGCTATGGACAGTGACGCCCATTTCTCTCCTCCCTGGCCCTTCGTCTGTTTCTGCCCCACTCTACCCAATTCTCTTCTGCCCATGAATCTATCTTCTAGCCATCAGGAGTGTGACAAGGCCTACCACAACATCTATCTCTCCAAATCCCGATGGTCCCTTAACTGCCTCACACCGGATCTCATTGCTTCTCTTTCTCTGTTGCTCCCGACTTTTCACATCAGGAGTGTGGCAAGACCTACCACAACATCTTCCATTCCAAATCCTGGTGGTCCCTCAAGTGCCTCTCACCTGATCTCGCTGCTCCTCTTGCTCTGTTGCCCCCCCAACCCCCCCCCCCCCCTTCCCCCTTTCCACACCAGGAGTGTGACAAGACCTCACAACATTTTCATCTCAAAGTCCTGGTGGTCCCTTCTCTGCCTCACAACCAATCTCCACGTTTCTCATCCTTATTCACTCGCACTCTCCACAATAGGAGTGTGACAAGACCTATCACAACATATTCATCTCAAAGTCCTGGTGGTCCCTCAAGTGCCTCAGGCCCGGCCCGAGCCTCTTCTTCGGCTTCCGAGCCTCCGCCTTCGCTGTGGCGCTCAAGCACCTAGCCAAGGCGCAGCTTCGGTTTAAATCAGGAGCTGCCTCCACCAATCCCTCATCTTCCACCCCTCCTCCTCCTTCCGCTGCTGCTGCTGCTACGGGCAACACTGCAAGGGACTCCCCATCCCAGGGGGAGGTAGGGAAGGGGGAGGTAGAACTGGTGGAGGTGGAACTGAGCGAAGCAACGAAGCACCGGGTGATATCTGCGTGGCTTCAGAGGGACCTAGCAGTTCATGCCAACACTGTTCTCACCAACTTCTGCCTGCTTCTTGCCTCCCTCGCTGCCCTCCTGCTGCTGCTGCGCTCCCTGCTGCTGCGGGTGAAACGGGTGCTAGGGAGGAAGGGGAAGAGTGGTGGGCAGAAGAAGGAGGGGGGGAGTGGGGATAAAGGGGGGAGGGTGGGGGGAGGGGGGTTTGGGAGGGTGAAGAGTGAGGGGGATGGGAGTGGGAGTGGGAGTGGGAGTGGGAGTGGTGGGGTGTGGGGGTTGGGGATGAGGTGGAGGGGGAGAGGGGGGAGTGAGGGGGATGGGAGGAGCGGAGAGGGGAGCAGCACGGCTGGAAGAGGGGGAGGGGGAGGGGGAGGGGGAGGGATTTGGGGGCGGAAAGCTGTGAACTGGGCATGTGAAGGGGCGGATGATAGGGCACCTGAGGGGGCGAGTAATGGGACACGGTCGCATGGGGATGGGTCAGGGGGAGGGCGTGCTGGGGGGGCAGATGCAGCAGCAGGGGCGGTTGCTGGCAAGGCAGCTGCAGCAGGGGCGTCCACACCAGTGGCATCCTCAGCAGTGACAAGGGCGCTGGCATGGCTGGTATCTGGCAGGCAAGGGGCTGTGAGGCAGAGTGGAGGGGAGGGGAATGGGCATGGGCATGACCACGGGCATGGGGCAGTGGCGCATGGTGTGCTACCAAGCAGGCTTGCAGGGAATGCGATGCTGACAAGTGGCAGGAGGGTGAACGGAGGGGTGATAGATGGCATGATGAGGGGTGACGTGGCGATTAATGACGGGGCGGCAAATGGTTTGGTGGCCAATGGTGCAACGACCAATCAGGTGACGGCGAATGGGTGGCGTGAAATGGAGGCAGCACTTGGGCCCGGGCATGGTGCTTTGGCTGTACATGGGAATGGGCCAGCACAGGTTGGTGGCTGGGCAGCACAGGTTGGTGGCTGGGCGGCACAGGAGAGCGCAGCTGTGATTGCTAAACGAAGGAGCAGCTCCAGCAGTGGCGGTACTGCTGCTAGTGATGCTGATGGGGATGGTGATGCTGATGCTGGTGGTGACAGTGACAGGATGGGGCAAGCAGCAAGAGCGATGCTGGCAGCGTTATCAGCAGGGAAAGGAGGAGCATCAGCATCATCAGCTCTTAGAACCCTTCAAGACCGGATAAGAATGGGACAAGAAGGGCTTGGTGTGGACCATTCAACCGATACAAACACCAAAGAGAACAACAATAGTGCCAGAGACGGCACACCTGCCCTCCCGACCACTCCAACAGGCAAAGCGGTGCCTCCCCCTGCTGCCAGCTTCCCAAACAGTGCCACCAGCAGTCCCGGCAGTGCGGGCGGCAGTGGAGGGAAGGCCAGTGGCGCGTACTACCGGGCAGCTGATGGGCAGTGGAGGAGGTTCAAGTCCGTTACAAGATCATGAACTCGATTTCTTTCGTTGTTTGGTACTAATAACCGGCCGAAGTAAGTTCATGTACAATGCACTCTGTTGTTACCCTGGTATGTTGATTCCTTAATCTCTGTCTCCTTTCCAGCCAGGCTGTTCAATCATGTGTAATTACAATTGTTCATGCGACTAGTGTACAGATTTCACGGCTACTTATAAGTTAGGCATACTTGTCGCAAAACACTCCAGTATATTACGCAGGTTACATGTTTTTTTACATGGATCCATGCGTTGCTTGAGCCGACTTGCTCTGTACCGGGGAATTCGTCTTCCCACGTACAAACGAGCCGCATCTGCATGAAATACATGTATAATGTGGTCCAGGACTACATAAAATCTTTTCGGTTGATTACAAGCTTTTTTCGCCACTAGAAGACCAAAATAATTTCGTTCAGGACTGAATAATACGCGTGAGAGAGACAAAGAAGGGAACTGTCGGCAGACCAACGGCCGCGATGGTAAACGTGCGAGAGGTCGACTTAGGCAGTCGTACGATTCGGATCGTAGAGCTTGAGGACGCGATCGATGCGGAGACGGGGAAGTCCGTCACGGGCGCGTGGGTGTGGGACTCGTCGCTCGTCTTCGCCGCGTGGCTCGCGCACGGGAAGGCGTGGCCGGAAGGGTCGATTAAAAGACCTAAGGGTGCTTGAGCTCGGCGCGGGTTTAGGACTCGGCGGGCTCGCCGCGGCGGCTTTAGGAGCGCGCGTGCTGCTGACGGACCGCGATTTGAGAGTGATTAGCGGGATCAGGCGGAACATTGCGGAGAACGCGCTCGAGGGGAGGGCGTTTGCGGCACAGCTGGAATGGGGGGGAGGGCTTGCCGAGGCAGGTGCATTCGGGGGAGCGGTTACCTAGGACGGCGGATTCCGGGGAGGATGCGCAACGGCGGACGTCTGACGGTGCGGAATTGGCGGAGGCGGAGGTGGAGGTCGGCGGCCGGCGGGAGGGGGGACATGGGAGCTTGCAGGGATGGGGGGAGCGGAGGGGAGATAGAGGAGAGAGAGGGAGATACTGGAAGAGCTGGTAATGGGGGCGTTGGTGTTTGTGGTGGTGGTGGTGATGCTGCTGCTGCTGACACTGCTGGCACGACAGCAGGAGCAGTACGAGGATCACCAGGGCAACCAGGAGCTGAAGCACCGGAGGCATTACCAGGAGCGTTGAGTGCGAATGGTGCGGTCTCAAGAGTTGCCGAATCTCAGCCGTTGGATGTCGAGGAGTTTGTGAAGGATCTCGATCTGATCGTTGGATCGGACATCACGTACGACGTAGATCTGATGCCCGCCCTCTGCCGGACGATCAAGCAGCTGGCGAGCCCTCGCACTCGGGTGAGCCTTCGCAACGGTCTATCAGACTATCGGTTTATTCATGTCAGAGATATGTGAAATGCGTGGTACATGAACAGCGTGATTCCCCCCTCTGCCAAACGATCAAGCAGCTGGCGGGCCCTCGCACTCGGGTGAGCCATCCCATCGGTTTATTACAGTGTCGGTTCACTGAAGTATCGGTTTATCAGGGGTATGTCCCAAGTGCTTGGGCGTGTGGGCAGCGCATTAGAGGGGTGAGCCGCGCTCTGCCAAACGATCAAGCAGCTGGCGGGCCCTCGCACTCGGGTGAGCCATCCCATCGGTTTATTACAGTGTCGGTTCACTGAAGTATCGGTTTATCAGGGGTATGTCCCAAGTGCTTGGGCGTGTGGTCAGCGCATTAGAGGGGTGAGCCGCGCTCTGCCAAACGATCAAGCAGCTGGCGGGCCCTCGCACTCGGGTGAGCCATCCCATCGGTTTATTACAGTGTCGGTTCACTGAAATATCGGTTTATCAGGGGTATGTCCCAAGTGCTTGGGCGTGTGGGCAGCGCATTAGAGGGGTGAGCCGCGCTCTGCCAAACGATCAAGCAGCTGGCGGGCCCTCGCACTCGGGTGAGCCATCCCATCGGTTTATTACAGTGTCGGTTCACTGAAATATCGGTTTATCAGGGGTATGTCCCAAGTGCTTGGGCGTGTGGGCAGCGCATTAGAGGGGTGAGCCGCGCTCTGCCAAACGATCAAGCAGCTGGCGGGCCCTCGCACTCGGGTGAGCCATCCCATCGGTTTATTACAGTGTCGGTTCACTGAAATATCGGTTTATCAGGGGTATGTCCCAAGTGCTTGGGCGTGTGGGCAGCGCATTAGAGGGGTGAGCCGCGCTCTGCCAAACGATCAAGCAGCTGGCGGGCCCTCGCACTCGGGTGAGCTATCCCATCGGTTTATTACAGTGTCGGTTCACTGAAATATCGGTTTATCAGGGGTATGTCCCAAGTGCTTGGGCGTGTGGGCAGCGCATTAGAGGGGTGAGCCGCGCTCTGCCAAACGATCAAGCAGCTGGCGGGCCCTCGCACTCGGGTGAGCCATCCCATCGGTTTATTACAGTGTCGGTTCACTGAAATATCGGTTTATCAGGGGTATGTCCCAAGTGCTTGGGCGTGTGGGCAGCGCATTAGAGGGGTGAGCCGCGCTCTGCCAAACGATCAAGCAGCTGGCGGGCCCTCGCACTCGGGTGAGCCTTCTCAACTTTCTATATAATAATCGTCACTTTCACATCAGCGGTATGTCAGAAGGGGGATTGGCATATGAACGGCGCAGTAGAGGCGCGAACCTTCCAGGTGTTATATTTCTATCATTGGTATGTGAAAAACGTATTGGTATATGGGCGGTGTATTAGACACGTGAGCCTGCCCTCTGCCAGACCAACCCCCTAGCACTCAGCTATGCCTTTAGTGGTGTATTTGGGTTAGCTGATACACCAAATCATATGAGTTGGTGCCTGTTGGTGTATCTGAGTTGTCATGTCACATTAACTGAGCCATGGAGCGGTGTATCGGAGGCATGTCATGTTGGTCCGCACGCTCTCAAGGACCTCAGCTCAAGCGCTCTCTCTAGCCTCTTCTCTCTTGCCTTCTAATCTCCTTCCCCTAATTTCCCCCCCACCCCCACTTTCCCCTTCCCCCCTCAGATATTCCTGGCAGTGGAGCTGCGCCCAGCCACGCCTGAGTGCTTCCCCGCCATCTCCCCATAACCGCTTCTCTCTTCTCCCTCCGCCCTTCCTCTTAATCCCCCACCCCCCCTCACCCCCCTTCCCGCGTCAGATATTCCTGGCAGTGGAGCTGCGCCCAGCCACGCCCGAGTGTTTCCATGCCATGGCAGCGCACGGCCTCACGTGGAGGGCAGTGGAGCAGGGCGACCTGGACCCGCGGTGGTGCAGCGACGACATCAAGATCTTTCAGTTCTTCACCTAACGTGGCAGAAGGCTTTTCCACAGTAGAGTGTACCTCCTCTGGAGCAGGGCGACCTGGAGCAGGGCGACCTGGACCCCCGCTGGTGCAGCGACAGCATCAAGATCTTCCAGCTCTTCACGTGACTGGCGGTTGTCTTTTCCTGACGAGTACAGTGTACCTGGACGGATGCAGCGACTACATCTAGACCTTGCATTTCCCCACGTAATCGGCAATTCGTATTTTTTCACGGGCGGCGGAGCAGGGCGACCTGGACCCCCGCTGGTTCAGCAACGACATCAAGATCTCCCAGTTCTTCACGTAACGTGGCAGTAGGCTTTTCCAGCTCTTTACGTGATCGGCGGTTGTGTTTTCTCCTCGGGTAGTGGAGCAGGGTGACCTGGATCCCCGCTGGTGCAGTGACGACATCAAGATCTCCCAGTTCTTCATATGACTGTATGTGGCTTTAACCTAATGAGTAGGGTAATGTGAGTTTTGAGTCGACTCAAAACTCGTCTCACGTGGAGGGTAGTGGAGCAGGGAAGCTTCCACCCCGTTGTGCAACGACGATTTCAAGTTCCAGTTCTTCACGTGATTGGCGGTGGCATTCACCCAATGAGCAGGGCAAAGTGTACAAGGCGGCAGGGACCATCCTTGAGACTCAGGCGAACATGCTGGTGCTGGGGGTTGCACTTGCTGTGGGATCCATTTCACTGGTCACAAAGATGCCGTCACAAATGAGAATTGTAAATAGTGTTACATAAGGATATCATAGTGGCATGCTGATCTTTTGGACAGCATCTGTACCTATACAGTGCATCTGCAACTCGTTTATGTTGATCTTGAAGCGAAGGTAACATATTCAGCTCGGCCGATTGTGGCGAAACTCGTTCGAGATCGGCGAAATTGAGATTCCCCACGGAAACGGGCATTTAAGAGGGCCCATTGTCAGAGAACTTTCTGGTGGAACTCCGTAGGCGGGCATCCCATTGGTTGGGAGGATGTCAAGGCAAATTTGCCCCTTTCTCGATGGCATACCATCCGAGAGCTTTTTTGCCCGCGGGTACCGTGGGCAAAAATCCCAATCTCTAGACTAGGCGATGCTTGCCAGTGGGCATACTGCAGTTGGATAGGCTTTTGATTGTACCCGCATATCTTTATAGAAGGCGCCGCGCCGCGTCGCGCTAAATCAGGCCGCAACGCGTTATACTGTATTCTTGGTCTTTGATGCGCGCATAAATACAGACTGGAAGAACGCGATCGCCGTACTGCTCTACCTCTGATTGCTTACGTCCCAATACCTATCATCCATTGCGCGCGAAACGACAATCGAGCCGTTTAGCGATCAGCCATGCCAATGGCGGTCCGAGCGGGCCTGTCGTTCTTAGTCTTCGCGACGCTCGCGACGCTCGCGTTCGCGGTCGTCGCAGGCGTCGTCGAGTTATGTCCCAACAATTTCGCAGATTTCGTCGGAAATGAAAAAGCCGCGTTCGTCAAATTCTACGCCCCGTGGTAAGGAATACCTGTAAGTGAATGGATATGTGACGCACCCACACTTACCTACCCTTAGACTAGCCAACCAGACCATTCCCGTCTCGAGACCGCTCAGTGGTAAGGACTAGATCCAGCAGCGCTAGCTTACCGACCTTCCAACTCACCAACCAGACCATTCCCATCTGGAGACCGCGTATCGAACCGTGATTCCCGCGACGTTTGAATGCTCGGCGCGCTGTAGAAATGGATTCAAGTAGCGGCCCATTTCCAATCTTGTTCGAAAGAATCTCTTCTTGCTGTCACCCATTTCTTCGCTAGTTGTTTCACCAGAAGTTCCCGCTAATTTACTTCGATACGTGTCTTAGAAGCGAGTAAAGACTGGCGCCACCAGTTTGCCGCTCGCGCGGCTTACAAACGGATTGCCGACGGCTTCTTTTCCCCCTTCCTGACTCGCAATGCCCGTCCTCCTCCATTCACCCTGCCTCCTTTCCCCCTCCCCTCGACTTCTCCCCGTCTCCCCCTCCCTCCTCTTCACTCTTTCCCGATTACCCCCCGCTTTTCCCCCCGCTTCCCCCCGCTTGCCCCCCGCTTCCCCCCGCTTCCCCTCCGCTTGGCCCCCGCTTTCCCCCCGCTTCCCCTCCGCTTGCCCCCCGCTTCCCCCCCCCCGCTTTCCCTCCACTTCCCCCCCGCTTCCTTGCCGCTTCCCCTCCGCTTGCCCCCCCCTTCCCCCCCGCTTCACCTCCGCCAGGTGCGGGCATTGCAAGAAGCTGGCCCCGGACTATGACAAATTCGAGTCCTCCTTTTCCCCCCTCTCCCCCTGCCCTCCTCCCCCCCCCCCCCCCCTTCCCGCTTCACCTCCGCAAGGTGCGGTCATTGCAAGAAGCTGGCCCCGGACTATGACAAATTCGGGGCTGCTTTTAAAGAGACCGAATCGGTGGTTGTCGGTAAGGTGATTGTTGAATCAGATTTGATCTGATTGTGGCTGGGAGATGGGTAGCGGGCGAGCTAGAAAAGAGCCAAGAAGGAGCGGAAATGGTGCATGGAAGGAGCGGGGAAAACACATGGAAGGTGCTTGGAATGTTCATGAAGCACTTTATTCCATACCCTTGCAAGGCCTTAACCCGTCTGTCCTCCCATCCCATCCCTCTTCTCCCATTCCCCATGTCATCTCTATTCGTCTCTATTCTTCCTTCCTTCCTTCCGTCCGCTATCGTCTCATCCTGTAGGTGGACTGTGACAAACACAAGAAGCTCTGCAGCGAGTACAAAGTGAAGGGGTACCCCACGCTCAAGTGGTTTCCTAAAGGGTCCTCCAAACCTGAAGAGTAAGGAGTGGGGCGAGGGACGGGGTTAAAGGCTTAGGATATAGGGTCTAGGGAGGGGCGAAGGGGGGGGATGAAGCGAGGGGTGAAGGAGGGCGAAGCGAGGGGTGAAGGGAAGGCGAAGGGAGGGGATTAGCGAGGGAGGGGGTGGGGCGAGGGGCCTGGCATGGCATGGCTTTATCCAATCTAATCGCGTATCTTGATCCCATTTGTCGTGGCATGGTCACCATTGTCTGATGGTCATGTGAATCTGCTCCGCACCTGCAAGTGTGTAGTATTGCAGCTGTTTTTCGTTCTTGTTTGTTTTCTTCCTCCCTCATATATTTGATGTCTAATTCCTTGACACACACCAAACATGAATACTGGCCGGCTGGCTGGCTGGGTGGGTGGGTGGGTGGGTGGGTGGGTGGGTGGGTGGGTGGGTGGGTGGGTGGGTGGGTGGGTGGGTGGGTGGGTGGGTGGGTGGGTGGGTGGGTGGGTGGGTGGGTGGGTGGGTGGGTGGGTGGGTGGGTGGGTGGCAGCTACACAGGGGAGCGCAGTGTGGACGATCTGGTGGCCTTTACAAACGAAAAGCTGGGTGAGTGACCTTTGAGGCTTTTTCTTGGAGTGTGACGGCCTGTCTCATTCCCATCCATCCCATCTCATTCCCATCTCATTTCCATCTCATTTCCATCTCATTTCCATTTCATGCCATCTCATGCCCATCTCATGCCCATCTCATGCCCATCTCATGCCCATCTCATGCCCATCTCATGCCCATCTCATGCCCATCTAATGCCCATCTCATGCCCATCTCATGCCCATCTCATGCCCATCCATCTCAAGCTCACTCCATGCCCTTGAAGAACCCATCACACACGTGTTATCGGCCACGCTACGTGATGCACCTCTCTCTCAATACTCTCTTTCTTCACTCCTCGACACAGGCCACCTGCCTGTGTCGTACGGTATCCCTCCCAGGCACCAGCGAGGTGACTTTTCAGTCGACTCAAAAGTCGCTACGTGATGCACGTCTCTTCTCAATACTATCTTGCTTCACTCCCCGACACGGGCCACCTGCCTGTGTCGTCTCCCTCCCTCCCAGGCACCAGCGCCACCGCCATCGCACGTGGTAACCCTATCGCCAGACAAGACAACTTTAATGCGGTGGTTCTGACCCCCCCCCCCCCCCCCCCCACTCCTCCCCTCCCATTGCCACGTTCATATGCGGCAGGCACGAGTGTGCAGCCACCAGCGCCACCGCCATCGCACGTGGTAACCCTATCGCCAGACACCTTTGACGCCGTGGTGATGGATCCCTCCAAGTTCGTGCTCGTGGAGTTCTACGCGCCCTGGTGAGACACGGAATGAAAGAGAGAGGTGTGCAGGGAGAGGTGTTCTGTTTGGAACTGTCAAGGGTGTGTGAGAGCTTTCAACGCCATCTGCTGCTGTGCTGTGGTGATGGACCCCACCAAGTCTGTGCTCGTGGAGTTCTACGCGCCCTGGTGAGACACAGACAGGCAGAGGTGTGTCGTATGGAATTGCCAAGAGTTCGTGAGAGCTCTCAAGGGGACATCTGCTCGTGGTCGGGGTGATGGACCCCACCAAGTTCGTGCTCGTGGAGTTCTACGCGCCCTGGTGAGTGGGGGAGAGAGGGAGTGAGAGGGGTGCTTTTTCCATGTGGATTGTGGGAGCTCTCAACTCAAAGGATCACCTTTGATGTGGTGGTGATGGATCCCACCAAGTCCATGCTCGTGGAGTTCTACGCGCCCTGGTGAGAGGCAGAGAGGCAGAGGTGTGTCGTATGGAATTACCAAGGGTTCTTGGCAACATTTTTCCTGCCATGGTGGCAGTGGTAATGGACCCCACCAAGTTCGTGCTTGTGGAGTTCTACACTCCCTGGTGAGACAGACACACAGAGGAAACTGGCTTTTTTTATTGCGTTTCAGTCCCTTTGGGTTCTTCTCGGGTGCTTTCCGAGTGCTTTTCTAGGGCTTTTAGGGTGCCTTTTCAATGCCTTTCGAGCATCTCTAAGCTGGTTCGTGTGCTATGCTGCTTCTTCTGTGCATGCCCATGTTTGGATGTGTTTTGCAATGCATGCTGATGTTGCTTCTTTGGTGTGTTTGCACATTTGGTACCCTATTCCCTTGTGCGGCATGCTATTCGGTAGAGGTGTGAAATTAGCTTGGGTGTGTAGCATCAGCATTTCAATTCGTTGTTCTCAACTCTTTGCGTGTCCCTCCCCTGCACCTTAACAAGGTAACTTCTGAGTCGACTCAAAATGTTCGCAACTCTCTGTGTGTCTCTCCCCCTGCATCTGCATTTCCCGTCACAGGTGCTCGTTTTGCCAAGACCTCGCTCCGGTAATTTTCCGACTCCTTATCTTGGCCAAATTCCTATTCGCTCCTTACAAATCCATTTAGTCTCATTTGTCTCATATAAATAATAGTAGTAGTAGTAAAAAAAAAAAAAAGAGCCTCATTCTCTTATTCTCCCATTCTCTGCCAACTCCTTTTCTCGCCTTCTCTATCTTTCTCTTCTCTCTCCCGCCCCTCGCTTTCTTTTCAATACCTCCTCTCTTTCCTCCCTGTTTCCTCCCTCTTCTCTCTCCCAACCCCATTCTTCCCTCCTTGTTTTCCCTCACCACCGTTTCTCTTCCATGCATACGAGCAGTTCGGACAGGCATTCAGGGACGAGGAGAACGTGGTGATTGAGAGCTATAAAGACTTTCTTTTTCCCCCTTGCTCTCTTCCCTTCCCTTTCAACGCCCGTCTCCCATTCCTCTCTGCATGATGCGTCCCCTCACCAGGCGTACGAGCAGTTGGGGCGGGCATTCAGAGACGAGGAGAACGTGGTGATCGCCAAGCTAGATGCGAGCAAGCACAGGGATCTCAAAGAGAAGTGAGTGTTTTTGCGGTGATATGGTGGTGTGTATATAATGAAAGGTGCTACTAATGAGATCTGACTGTGAGCGTGTATGTGTGAGTGAGTATGTGAATGTGCATGTGCATAGTATGAATGTCATAAGTGCATGTCTGGTCCGGTCATCCAAGCATGAAGTGGCTGTCATGTGAGGCGCCTTAGAATCTTTTCATCCAGTTGCAATTTATTCCCTTGTATTATATTGTGTCTGCATTCCTTACCCACTTCAGGTACAGTACACTGTACTGAGTACAGCATATCGGGTTACCCAACCATCAAGTCGTTCCCTCCGTCCAACAAGCAGGGCGAGGACTATGAGGGCGCGTGGGAGCTGGGAGGCGTGTCAGGCTCCTCAATGTGTCTGCATGCTGTTGCGTTGCACATCCTCTCTTCTCTCCGTTCTACCCTCTCTCCTCGCTCCCCTTCACAGGTACAACATATCGGGTTACCCAACAATCAAGTGGTTCCCTCCGTCCAACAAGCAGGGCGAGGACTATGAGGGCGCGTGGGAGCTGAGGGACCTGCTGGCGTTTGTGAACAAGGAGGCAGGCACACACAGAACCAACACAGGAATGCTCTCTGATATGGTGAGGTGGTTGTGGTGCTGTACTCAGTGCTGCGCGCGTGTGTGCGCACACGCACAGACGCACAGAACCAACACGGGGATGCTCTCTGACATGGTGAGCTCGGTGTGGTGCTGCGCTCAATGGCGCACGCACGTACACAACCACACACAGAACCAACACGGAATGCCCTCTAATATGGTGAGCAGTATGTGCACGCATGAGAGCAGCACCAGGCAAGGGAGAGAGTTGTGAGGGCGCGTGGGAGCTGAGGGACCTGCTGGCGTTTGTGAATAAGGAGGCGGGCACGCACAGAACCAACATGGGAATGCTCTCTGACATGGTGAGGTGGTGGTGACCTGGTGGGGTGGTGTGGAGTGGTATAGTGTGGTGTGGTGTGGTGCGGTGTGGTGTGGTGTGGTGTGGTGTGGTGTGGTGTGGTGTGTGTGTATGTGCCAATGTGTGTGCGTATGTTCTGATGCCCCCCAGCCATCACTCCCTCCTTTGCTCCCACCATTCCTGTGCAGCCAGGCCACATAGCAGCTTTGGACGAGTGCCTGTGGGTTCATTGGGCCCGCCTGTGGGTTCATTGGGCCCGCCTGTGGGTTCATTGGGCCCGCCTGTGGGTTCATTGGGCCTACAGTGTGCGTTTCAGACCCCTTCACGCTCTCAGCGCCTTCAGTCCCTCTACCACTCGTGCTTGCCCCTCCCACCATTCCTGTGCAGCTTTGGACGAGTTGGCCCGCGGTTCGTTGGGGCCGCCCGCAATGTGTGTGCGTTGAGACTTGTCCGCTCCACGCTCTCAATGCTCCACGCTCTTTACCGCTCATGCTTGCTTACCCCTCCCACTACTCCTGTGCAGGCCGGGCGCATAGCAGCTTTGGACGAGCTGGCTCGCGGGTTCATTGCAGCGAGCAAGGAGGAGAGAGAGGAGCGATTGGGCAAGGCGGAGAGGGTGACAGTGAGCGAGGAGGAGAGCAAGTGAGTGCTCTGTGCGGTGTGGTGGGCTCAGTCAGAAAGGCTCATTGCAGCGAGCAAGGAGGGGAGGGAGGAGCGATTGGGCAAGGCAGAGAGCGTAGTAGTGAGCGAGGAGGAGAGCAAGTGAGTGGGTAGGGAGTGAGTGCGGTGTGGATAGGTGCAGAGTGGAGAGAGGGTGCATTGGGGTGGCTAAGGAGGAGAGAGAGGAGAGTTTGGCAGTGAGCTAGGGGAGGAGGAGAGCAAGTGAGGGAGCGGGAGAGCAAGTGAGGGAGCGGGAGAGCAAGTGAGGGAGCGGGAGAGCAAGTGAGTGGTCAGTGCTCAGAATTGAAACTGCCAAAATGGCGAACTATATAACTAAGGTGGAGAGGCTTCGACAGAGGAGAGCTAGTGAGAGAGGAGGAGAGCAAGTGAGAGAGGAGGGAGGGGGTGTGGTATGAGATAGGTAGGTGCATTGTGCATTGGAGATGGGGCTACCGGGACAGGGATGGAGGAAAGGTGGGGAGAGAGAGGAGAGAGAGGCGAGAAGGGGAGGAGCAGGGCGGGCTAAGAAGACTTGCAATTTAGGGTAGGTGAGGTGCATTGAAGGGGGATTTTCTGGGAGGGGCAAGGAGGAGAGGGAGGTGATGGTTGTACCTGGCTTCAGATGTATTCTTAGTCGTCTGAATAGGAGGAGACGAACATGTGGTGGGAAAGTGGTATGCGTGGGTGATGCGGCATGTGCGCATGGCTTTTTGGCTCATGCGGCATGTGTGCTCTTGCTTTACCATTTCCTTTCTCTCTGTTGGTGTGGCAGGCACCGGGCATGTACATTACAGCGATGAGAAAAGTAATGTGGAGGCCTTTGAAACGCGTATATTTGTGTTTCCCCAACGCGTCTTGGTGTGGCAAGCAACGGGCATGTACATTACAGCGATGAGAAAAGTAATGTGGAGGCCTTTGAAACGCGTATATTTGTGTTTCCCCAACGCGTCTTGGTGTGGCAGGCAAGCCGCCATGTACATTATGGCAATGAGAAAGATCATGGAGAAGGGCGAGCAGCATGTGGAGGATGAGCTCAACCGCGTGGGGAGAATGCTGCTGGGGGTGAGTTGAACGAACCAGCATGTGGACCCAGACATCTGGTTTTGAGTCGACTCACTGTGCATGTGCCACGTGCTGCTCTCCCTTCACACACACATTCTTAACATTCCCTTTTGTTTCCTCTTTCAGCTTCGCTGCATTGTGACCAACGGATTGCGTGCCATGCTCGCACTGGTGCAGGCACTGCCAAGGCACAAGGCAGTATCCGCAAAAGACACATTCACGTTCCTGACTGTTCACCTGCGTTTCCTTTTTTGCCGTTTGTATGACTGTCGCATTGCGTGCTGTGGTCGCACATGTGCAGGCACTGGCAAGGGAGAAGGCGCTGAGCTTCATCATCAAAATGAACATCCTCGCAGCCTTTCTGGAGCTTGAAGGAAGCAACAGCAGCGAGGGCAATGGAGACTTTGATATGAAGATTGAGCTACCTAAGAAGTTTCAATATGGGAAAGTGTAGAGGAATGTGGTGTTAGGTACTCAACTGTTTTCATCTCTACCTACTCAGGCAGGACACCTTTCCCCGAATCCCCGTGTTTAAAGTGTCACAAGGGTGCAATTAATAAAGATCCAACAGGAATGTACAACCGCACCTCTTTGTGGGGCTACAAGAATTGCTAACGTACGGTAGTACGGTAGTTGAGCATTTATTTGCCTTAGAACAAGACAGCAGGATTTGCAAGCTGCATTGCACACACACACATGTTGAGGCAATTACAGTACATTGCAACCGTCTACAGGAAGAACTTGTGTTGCTGGCAGGGAGCCGCTCACTAGAGATAGGTACATTACAGCAGTCCCTCATTGCAACAAAGCAAAATCTTGGCAACTGGTGTTCACTACAGGACCTATCGACTGCATTTCACATCTTAAACCTAGCGAGCAGTGGAGCTCAATTCAGGTGATTTTACCTACCTCCTGGTGTTCCCAGTAGAGTAATGATACGGCTAGAAACACAAAACTATTCAAGCAGCACAGATGCGGATGCAGCATCTCACAGAGGTTACAGTTACAGGGCGATCATGCATATGAAAGTGGATAAGGCCAATAGAGAGTGGATGAGAAGTGAAGTGGGAAGGAGAGAGGAAGGGGCAGAGAACCGGCCGGGCGGGTGGGGGATTGGAGGGGGGAAAGAGGGGGGAGAAGGGCGCGAGGGTACCGAAGAGAGGAAAAGGGGGCGTGTGAGGGGGAAAGGAAAAACGGGGAGAGGGGAAGGTGGGAAGGGAGTGGGAGTGGGCACAGGGAAGGAACGTGGGAAAACGGATTGGGCTTGTTTGGCAAATAGCACTGCCCCAGCCAGCCTTGGACCAACCAAATCTTGTTCCTCTCTGTCCTTCCCACTATCCGTGCGTGGTCGGCACCGTACAGTACCGTTTTGTACCGTTGCTCAATCCGTGCGACAAGAGTTCCAAGAGCCGTGCCGACCTCATCTCATCCATCCGTTCTTCCTGTCCTTCCATCCATCTGTTACAGCTCCGTGACACCGTCGTTACACCATTGTTTCACCGTTGTTACACCGTCAGTGCCGGTCGTTTGTGTCATCTGTAACAGTGCAGGCAACAACGAACAGGTGGCCCTGCAGTGCGGTCAGTAATAAACCAGACTGCTCGCTCCCTCTCCCTCTGTCAAAACTGACCTCGATCAATCAGGGTACATAGGAGTCTCAGAAGTCACCTCAGGGGACATAGTAGTGCGGTCCGAGGGATGCAATGAAACTTATGGACGCAAGCAGGCAGAAACAGCCAGACGCTGGCACAGAACGAGCACGGAGCCCTGGACTGGAAGGTATGATAACAGGCAACGCGTGACATGACAACCATGCCGCATGCTGCAACTTGCTGCAATGCAATCCACAGGAAGCAGGCGGCACGCCACAGCACGACCCAACACCAAGATAACCCTACCCTACCCTGCACGCGCATACCGACACAAGGCACTAACAGACCCTACCCTGCCTGCATGCGCACATTGATAACCTTTGAACACAAATGATGGCGGCACAAGGCACGAAACTGACAAGGAGACACAATGCGCAACAGCACCACAATAACGACCACCACCATCTCAGCACTGACACTCACCCACCCATCACTACGGCCGATACCACGGGCAGCAGGACATTGCAGTCGAACCAACTTTTGAGGCGCCTCAAAAACCACCATCTCGGCACTGACACTCACCCATCATTACGGCCGATACCACGGGCAGCAGGACTTTGCAGTCGAACCAAAAGGACATTATTTGAAACATCCCCACAGTAACGACCACCAGCACCATCTCACCTGCATCGTTGGCACTGACCAGACTCACCCATCAATACGGCCGGTACCGCGAGCGTCCCCCACCATTTTTGAGGCGCCTCAAAAGCACCACACTGACAACGACATCCATCTCACAGTCATCGGCACTTGAGTGACACACACTCACCCATCAATATGGCCGGTACCGCGAGCGACCCCCGCCGTCCCCATTCCGCCCCTCTCCTCCCCCCCTCTCATAATCCCTCTCCCTCCCCTCATCCCTGTAACCATAACCACCCCCATACCCGCCCCCATATCCCCCTCCTCCCCCTCCCCCCCCTCCACCACCACCACCATACCCACCACCATACCCCCCGTATCCCCCACTACCTCCTCCTCCCCCTCCTCCACCCCCTCCTCCCCCGCCCCCGCCTCTCCGCCCATCCCCTCCCCGTCCCCCCGCGAGCAGGGGCGGGCGGGGCTGCGCCATGCGGATCTCGTGGAGGGGCGCGCCCTTGATCATGCGCTGGCTGCGCGCGCACGCGCTGTCCGCCGCTGCAAAGGTGTTGAAGCGCACATAACAGAACCCGCGCCGAGTGCCAGAGGCCCTGTCCTTGGGGAAGTACACGTCCTCCACCGTGCCGTACCTGACAGGGGGGCGCGGAAGGGGAGAGGGGGGGGGGGAAGGGAAATGGGAGAGGGGGGGGAAGAGTGCAACACAGGAGTTGAACCGCACGTAGCAGAAGCCCCTGCGCGCGCCCGAGGCTCTATCCTTGGGGAAATACACGTCCTCCACCGTGCCGTACCTGATTTCAAAAAGCAAACAAACCGCGGGAGAACGGGAAGGGGCGAGGGGAAAGGGGGGGTTGGGTGTGGGGAGGGAGGGGGGGGAAAGACGGGGGGAGGTGAAGGAGAGAGTTGGGGGTTGGGAAGCGAGCGGGAGCAGCGCGAAGGAGTTGAAGGGCACGTAGCACAAACCCCTGCGCGCGCACTCGACGCCCTGTCCTTGCGAATCTACGCGTCCTCTACCGCGTGGTCATTCGCGTCTTGTTTAGCTCACACAACCCCCTCCACCACAACTCGATTGGACGGACGATCAAGACTGCTTATAACGCGTCTCACTCACGAACAGACGTGGACAAACTATCAACGAGTTAACGACACTCTTACTGTTCAAAGTGCTCCTTCACATCTTGCTCGCTGATCTCCTCCCCTTTGCTTTGATTCGACTCAAACGAACCCCACGCATTGCTGACCAACAACCAACGGCTCTCTTACTGTTCGAAGTGCTCCTTCACGTCTTGCTCGCTAATCTCCTCCGCCACGCCCCCCACAAAGATCCGAAACTCGTCCTCAAACCCTCCCCCTCCCCCTCCGCTTCCGCCTCCCCCTCCGCCTCCCCCGCCTCCGCTCCGCCCATACCCCTCCATAGCATTCGACAGTATATACCCGCCTCCATATCCCGAACCTAGTGCGGCACCATAGCCGCCAGACGAGACTAGAGGAGTCACTGAGTAGTAATCCAAGCCTGCCGAACCTAGAGAGCCTCGGGGTGCTGCTGCGGCTGCCATGGCTAGAGAAGACGGGGGGTAGGCTCGGTGGGAGGGTCGGTCGTCGTTGTAGGCTCGGCGGCGGGACGACTGCTCTGGTCCTCGAGGTTCGGCTTTTGTTATGGGAATGGTCACGCCGCAGATCTCGTAAGAGTCATTCTCCACCTGAATTGAGGGACGTGCATTGGCATTTAAGAAGTTAGTTCCGAACATTTAGGCACGCGAATGCATGACGAACGAGACGCTGGTACGATCGTTTGACAAAGCCCGTTTCGGAGGGCAAGTCCGTATCTCGGATTTGACGCGAACGACCAGAAGAAAGAGGATTGAGATAGAACTACATCGTACCTCGCCAGTTCCATCATTATGGGCTATATCACATCACTCCACACCACACCCCATCGCACCGGACCACCCCACAACTCACCAAAGCTTATCCTGGCTTTGACAACAATGCGCGTACTGCGGCTTTGACGGCTTCCTCTTCTTCGAAAGAGATGAACGCGATGCCCTTCAACGTGCCGGTGAACGGATCGCGCGGCACGTACACGTCGATCACGGTCCCGAACTTCTCGAAGAAGCTTCGCAGAACATCCTCTTTATGCTCCTCCGATATCCCCGCTCGAAGAAACACGCGATAGCGATGCGACGGCATGGCGGGCTCGAAATAAAGCTTCTATCGTTATGGCTCACCATGGGAACCCTAACCTGCCAAATACCCTAGCAATGTGGGAGGGAGATCTGTTGCAGGCTGAGTTGCTGAGCTGTCCTCAATTTTATCTAACGGCGGAGATTCACCGACTGAAACGATGAAAACCTGAAATAGTTCCAAGAATGTACCACTTACAATCTCAACTGTTGATTCACCACTAGAAATCTCTACACAAGCGTGAACTGAAAGGTGCATACCGTAATTTGATTTCTTCAACCCCGCCTTGAAGTCAAGAGCACGCCAGAGAGTTCCTGAGAAATGGGGCGGTTCCGGGATTCTAACGCTGCTATTTTATAACAGAGGCAGAAAGATAGTGTTCAGATTCCTTTTGGGAGGGGGGGCATAAACATATTAAGCATCGTAATAAAATCGCTATAGGTGCTACAGCTCTATTGTTACCTAACATAACTTATCCTTTTTAAATTGCATCGTTCCTAATCTGAGTCCCATCCCCATGCCATGTGTGTGTGCACCCTATTGTGTGGGTGCGTATAATAGGACTAGATGTCCCCCGTTGATACGTCCTTGTGCTCATGAGTGTGCCTGAGGCCTCTGTTGGAGTAAATCCCATACTCTAACAGCCTCAAGTCACAGGAATGGCCACCTTGAGCCCGTCGAAGCAGTCTGACCCTACTCTGCTCCCAAAATACAGAGTCGTGCCTCGTTCAGCCCTCCTCACCAAATACACGTCCAGGCCCACTTTTCTGGGAGGACCCAAGGGATCTGCACTGTAGAAGTTGCACGAATCGAAGCTGTCTTTATCTGGGAATTGCTGTACATCTCGTTCTGCGTCCATCCACCGGAAAACTGAGGGACAGGAGAGTGAAAGAGACAAGGTTAGTGATGGGCAAGGGGCATAGGTGACAGAGATGGGTAACTGTGGGAGAGGGTTGCAAGAGACATAATTTGTAACGATGGATAGCTGTGAGGGAGAGGGTTGAAAGTGACCTAATCTGTGCAGATGGGTAGCTGTGAGGGAGAGGGTTGGAAGAGACAGTTACTGACGTGGGTACTATAGGAAGAGCTGCATGAGTAAGGTGTAAAATGGATAACGGTAGGAGGGTAGCACGAGACGAAGGTATACAGATGTGTAACAGAGGGAGGGAGGATAGAAAAGCTACAGGTGTTGGGGCGGGTAAGTGGATATACTTGCAAAAGTTTTGAATTTCCTGCCATTATAACTGCAAATACGGCTTTCGCACGACTCACTCACGGGCTAGCCTCAATCTGAATGTTGCATGAACATAAACTCTAACATACGAGTTAGAAAGTTGTTGGTTAATAGAGAACTGGTTAATACCGAGTCGTATGGACACTCACGAAGGAATGTGCCAGGCCTCACGGTTGGAGGAGTCCACTTGTCAACGCCAAGGCTCCATGGATTCACACTGGATCGCCCCTTTTCCAGCCCCACCGACACCACTGTCTGTGGGGCGGGGGACGTTGAGTGGTGCGCAAGGTGAGAGGGATAGAGAAGTTCAGCAGAGCAAGCTGTAACGGAAAGAAGGAGAAAGGAAACAGGGGGGGGGAAAAACACTATCGCCTCAGCATTGTGTCAACGGAGCAAGACAGCGGTTTACAGTGCTACTACCGTAGTAGCTTGTAACTTCGTTTGTATCATCAGTGAATGTCTGAACTCCCACAAGACTTCGGTCTTTCAAGACAGGGTGACAAGTGGTACAGTTGTTTTGCATTTAGTTAATTTGCGGGCATGCCCACTGGTGGCGAGCCGTTTTGCCTGTGCGCAAGCCGTAGTATGCCACCAGCTAGTCTTTTCAGCTTCACGGTTCGACTTTTGAGACGCCTCAAAAGTCATGTGGCTGACATCGAGCAAGACGTGGTGCGCCAGCCTGTATTCTTTTCACCTTCACAGTTTGAAGCGTTCCAGGATCGGAAGGGACGGGTTGTTACAGCGTTCCAGTACCTTAGCTGTTGCAGACTTCGAGCCGTGCTTTACCTTGGCGTCAACTGCACCTGCGATTGGGCGATCATGGGAGAAACGAGGGATGAAAGGGAAACAAGTGATGAACCTTGAGGAAACTGATGGCGAGAAAGCTGTGCTATGCGCGAATGCAGCAGCAGTGAAAGTTACTGAATTTAATTTGAGAAATCTAAGGAGTGATACCACGGATAAACATCGAGGACTCCCTTCGGAAGGGAAAGCGAGAAAGCGGTACTGTACGCCAACGCAACGGCAGTCAAAGTTTCTGTTTTTTGCAATCAATTTGCTATGTGAACCTAAATCCACTACGAGATACGCTGTGAGTGGCTCGCACGAGATGTTAGTAGGCTCTTTTAACGTGGCGCGAGGAAGAATTCAGTGCGCTGAATCACGGTCGACGAGGCATGGGTTGTGCGTGAGTTTGACACGGCATGGTGGCAGACGTACACGAGGAGAGCGCGAGAAGCGCCACACACGCAGCGATCGCCGCTGATCTACTCCGCATTGTAGGAGCTTGTATTTCGCTTTAGAAGTAGTTCCTGTTTGCAGGATCTTTTTGTGAGCGCGTGAGGACGATCAAACAAGCCACTGCCGCACGCGGGAACTCGGCGAAACTGGAGTTAGCTATTGCTAGCAAGCAGTAAGGAAGAATGTCTTGAAGAGCAGTAATAGACGCGGGTCAGTTGTGCGAGGTAGAGGCATCAGGAAGCAGTGGAAGTGTAATGAAGCGCCTCAAACAGTTTCTGCGGTCAGGAGGATAAGAATCTGCGGCGATGGGCACGATGCGTTTCCTAAGGACACGATGGGCCGTGCGACGACGCGAACGGTAGTCTGTGCCCGTGATCAAGAAGTGATCAGTCGCGCGCGAGGGAAAAACCGACATGACCGCTAAAAGGTCTGTTCTAGCGAGCTAAAAGCAAGTCTCGTGAGGGTTGATCTGAAAAGGGATTTGCCGCGGATGGGACGGGACGGGCCCAGGCTCCTCGCCGCGATCGTCGCGGGGAACATCACGAAAAAGTTCCCGTGAAATTCTCGTCGAGACATGCGGCGGATGATGGGCCCTGTTGCATTCGGACCATTCCTTTGTCCAGATGCTGTGTAAAATCCCAAGCAGCGATTTCTCGTTGTTCTTCCGCGACCCCACGTGGCACATCTCACTCGATCAGAATACAGAAAGTGTCGGAGGCAAGGCGGAAGCAGCCAGTTTTCATGAAGTGGTGAGATGGAGGGAGCGAAGGGGAGCGATGAGAGGAATAGGATGGGATAGGATGATATGGGTTTCGTTCCAAAGGGATGCGATGTGATTTCATGGGGTTGGATGTGATGAGATGGTCGGTGTGGAGTGGGTCTCGAAGAATTCGAGTTGTGCAATGTTATTGTTCGTGTCGCCCTCGACATCTCCTTGCAAAAATGCGTCTTCGGCGTCTCGCCTTCCTCTTGGGCTCGCGCTTGCCTCTCGCGCCAACCAGGTTACCGCCTGGTTTGTCGGCCGTTACAAGCAACGGATTGGTTCGCTGGGAAAGTTGTGACGGGGCTTGGAAATGTCGGCGGCTAGAAAGGTCGTTCATCCATGTAGGGCTAGACTTGTCCAGATTCACCATTTACCGTTCGTCGCGCCCGCAAATAGCTGCAGATTTTGTCGGCCACATTGTCGCGGTGGCACCCCCCACGCATCCAAAGGTGTACCACTACGCATTACAGCGCGTATGCTTTGTATTATAAAAGTACTCTTTGGTGTATTTTACAACTTATTTGCGGTAGGAAGTCCACTGTCAGCTGCTGGTCCTTCAGAAAATTCTTGTCTTCATATGCTTGCCAAATAGCTTCAAAGCAAAGCCTCCCTGAACAAAGCCTCCCAACAACCCTTTGTTGCAACTCCCTCTACCCTCATTAACAACTCATCGAATATTGCTAATTTCATTACGGAAGCATAGCTACACATGGAACCTGGAACTGGAATTAGCTTCTAACCGCAGGTGCCTCATTTGCGTACCTTGGGTGGAACACACACTTTTACTTGTGAAGATAATGTACCTGGGAGATTGCCCGAGCATGGCTTATTATACTGCTCAAACAACTGTCTGTTCGCTGCACCACCGAAATCGCTGATGTAGACGACTGTGCACGGAGTGCCTCCTGAATAATATTTCACCACACCCTTCTTGCACGAACCCACCGAGAACTCCAAATACTCGGCCCTTATGCAAACCTGTAAGCAAAAGGAGGGAAAACAATAATAAACATAGGTCGAACATGGAATGCACAGGCCAGCGTGTCAGCCGATTTCAACGAAGAAGAAGAAAATTCTATGGGAGGACCAAAACAAGGAACGCCAACCTCCCTTTTGGTGTTTGCAGAACAGTACAAGCCAAGAAATGCAAATATTGTATCGTTAGTCACACTGAAAAAAAACCAAATTGTCCTTGTCTCAAGGATACATGAGAGAGCTACCATTGAGAAGCTACTTGCTCCCTTCATTTGTTCGTACCTGCTAGTGTCATCCATCATCCATCCCAAACTCACTTTCACTCCCAGTTTGTCGCTAGGAGCGCCCGCAAGAACGAGCACTGGGTTGCTGCACACGAGCCCCGGGTTCATGCGGTGAAGCTCCACCATGGAGAGGGCTCCTCGTGACGCCTCCACTGCCTTACTGCACCCCGCCTGGCTGCTGATGAACGCGGTCACCAGGCAGCTCGGGATGCTGGCGGCGGCGCGGCGCTTGCGTTGCCTAACAAGCCAAACCTTCAGAAATCCAATCCCATCCATCCACAGCCCATCCCAAACTCACTTTCACTCCCAGTTTGTCGCTAGGAGCGCCTGCAAGAACGGGCACGGCGTTGCTGCACACAAGCCCCGGGTTCATCCTGAAGAGCTCGACCATTGACAGGGCTCCCTTGGAGGCCTCCACTGCCTGACTGCACCCCGCCTGGCTGCTGATGAACGTGGCCACCAGACAGCTCGAGATGCTGGCCGCGGCATGCGCGTTGCCTAACAAGCCGAGCCTTCCGCAATTCCACCCATTCACAGCCCGTCCAAAACTCACCTTCACTCCCAGTTTGTCGCTAGGAGCGCCTGCAAGAACAGGCACGGCGTTGCTGCACACGAGCCCCGGATTCATCCTGAAGAGCTCGACCATTGAAAGGGCTCCCTTGGACGCGTCCACCGCCTGGCTGCACCCCGCCTGGCTGCTGATGAAGGTGGTCACCAGACAGCTCGGGATGCTGGCCGCGGCGCGCGCGTTGCGCTCGATGCAGAGGGAGTGCGAGGCGGGGAGAGGAGAGGCGCAGTTGAGGTCCGGGTTGAGTTGCTGGAGTGTGGCGGTGGAGAGGGCCAGGAAGGTTGCCACGGAGGTGCATGTGTCGCTCTGGTGGGTGCGGGGGTCGTATGGCATTTGCAACGAGGGGTGGGGAGGGAACGGAGATGGGGACTCTTGAGGCGCCTCAAAAAGGTGAGGAGCAGTTGAGGTCCGGTTTAGTTGCTGGAGTGCGGCTGCGGAGAGGGCGAGGAAGGTTGCCACCGAGCCACACGTGTCATTCTGGTGGGTGGGGAGAGGGGTGAGGCGAGGGGACGGAGAGGGGAGTGGGGAGGCACAGTCGATGTCTGGGTTGAGTTGCTGCAGCTGGGCCGTGGATGGAGAGGGCGAGGAAGGCTGCCACTGACGCACACGTGTCACTCTGGTGGGTGTGGGTGGCATGGGTTTTGCCACGAGGGGGAGGAGGGGAACATATAGAAGGGTTTGAGTTGTACAGAGGCGATGATTTCTGAGACGGAGGAGAGGAGAAGGAGACCGACGAAGAGGGGTGATAACAGGTAGGAGGAGAGGAGAAGGGGATCTAAGCTGCACCCAGCGAGGACTTTATGGGTACACTTCTGATGTCCTTTTTCCCCCCGGAAACATTTTATAGCACAGAGAGGATGATTTCCAAGGGAGAGACAAGAAGAGGCAGTGCATAGCAGACAGCGAGAGATATTGGAACTTGCTTGAAGCATCGGAGCCGAAGGTCGGAAATCTACGGAACTCACCGGGTAGGTGTAATAGTAAGCAGAGCAAGCAGCCAGATTGTTGGGAGGAGGCACCTTGAGCACCTTGTCTCTCGTGAGGGGAGAGCCACAGTAAACATCCTGCAGGCAGACCCAACAGGAAAGTAGTTTGTTCAGAATTCTCACAAACCAACCAGTTGCAGTCATCATCATGCAGTGCAGGCATGGCCACCAGTGAACCCAGAGTGCCTTGGCTGCTTGTGGTGCTGATTCAGTCACACTTGCCTCTCCTAGTTGTGTTACGGATGCTATTAACAATGTAATATATCTTCCTAGCCTACTAGGGATCCGAGTCCTAGCAAGCAAACATGAGACATGGGTGACATATTTGCGGGAAGATCCCTATCAAGTGGTTCGTGGTTTGATGGAGGTCGGTCTTCCTGCACTCAAACCCACCTCTACATATTACAAGCTAACAGCACGGGACGTCCAAGTCAAAAAACGTTTCTACGAAAACGCAAACTCCCCCTCAACAGCAAGAGCATATGAAATCGTTGTAGGTAGGCAGTTGAGAGGTTAGAAAAGGGAAGCATTTCTCAGAGTGTTGTTGGCTGAAATTCCTTGTTGACTTTTGAGGCGCATCAAAAGATTTCTCACAGTGTTATTGGACTGAAAGTCCTGAAACGTGTTCCCATAAAGGGTATAAACATCGCTGCAACGCCAGTTGTCTCCAGCCACTAACAGCGTCGAGGCGAGTGTGGCTCCTGGGAGCAACACAGGGGAAGGGGAGTGTGATCGAGTCTATTTTTGAGTCGGCTCAAAAACAGCCACTACTAGCGTTGACGCAAGTGTGGCTCCTGGGAGAAACACAGGGGAAGGGGAGTGTGATCGTGTTGCGAGGTAACCTGACTTGCAATTTCAACCTTGTATGGTCCATTCGTGTCAGCAACATTAAATGCAGGTGGGAAAGCAATAAACAGAAGGTGGCCCTTATACGGCATTCAGGGTTGTGTGTGTGGGCGGACACACACACGTGTAGGCGCCCTGGCCGTCATCCATACAGAAGCCCACCTCACAGGGGTTGCGCGTTTTGAGACGTCTCAAATACCACTCCAGGCGCACCTTTGGAGCAGGTGGAGAAGCCGTCAATGGTGGTGTCGGGGGCGTGAGTGGTCGGGCAGCGCACACACACGTGTACATACAGGGGTTGCACGATTTAAGATGTCTCAAAAATCATTCCAAGCGCACCTTTGGAGCAGGTGGGGAAGCCATCAATGGTAGTGTCTGGGGTGTGAGTGGGCGGGCACACACACGTGTAGGCGCCCTGCCCATCGTCCATGCACGTGCCCACCTCACAGGGGTTGCGAGTGCTGCTCCTGCACACGTTCACTGGAGGAGCACACAGCGGGCATGCACAGACACAACAAGCATAGAGGCCTGATCATGGGGTTACTTTTGAGGCGCCTCAAAAGTCGCATACTCACAACACGCGTAGCAGCCTGATCAATGGGTTGCACATGCTGCGCGTGCAGCACTTGCTGATCAAGTTGGAGAACACATTGACTTTTGATGTTGCGACTTGAGAACACATTGCGACGACATTGAACACATTGACTCAAAAGTCACCTTGTTCTGGTGGAGAACACATGTTCCAGCAAAATGAAGAGTTCGAGCCGCAGCAAGCTGTTTTTTTAGATTTCTCAGAAATGACTCCAACACGCTTATTGATCGAGTCATTTTCAATGAATACCTCTTTAGTCAAGGCATGCATTGGTTAACGAAACATTGGGTAGCTAGAAGCGACGAGACAGGGCTATCGAGCTTAAACGGGGTGGTAGTTCATCCTTACATAGTGTGTAACACACAGGCGCCACTAGCCACAATGTCCCAGTCACTGTAAGCACAGGAGTGCCAGAAGCACCAATGTCACAGTCACTAGAAGTGCAGGGGAGCCGGCAGCAACAATGCAACACTCACTGTAAGCACAGGAGCGCGTGCCATGGGCGTTGGTGACCTTCTTGAATGGTAATGTGCAGTCGCAGCGGTTGGAGGTAACCTCTCAAAACAAGCAGAAAGCTCATTATGAGTAGCACCAAGCTCACTGCAAGCACTAAACTCTCTCTATGCACCAATCTCATTCTCAGCACCAGAGGCACCCTCAGCACTGGCACAAGTCATGTCACCGTCCCTCAGAGCACACATGCGTCACCACCAGCAATGTCACTCACTGTAAGCACAGGAGCGCGTGCCGTCGGCGTTGGTGACCTCCTTGAAGGGCGCCGTGCATGCGCAGTGGTTGGAGGTGCCATCAGGGGTGCACTTAAACGTGCCACATGGGTTGAGCACCGACCCTGTCTCGCTGCTGTACTTGTAGGCTCTCACCATGCACGGATCGTCCGCAGCTGGTATGGTGTGGCAGAGGGGGGAAGGAGGAGGGGGAGTGTGTGGGAGGAGAATTTTGAACCGACTTGAAATACGCCTGGTATGACCAGATGTGCGCCACGACCGGAGCACCAACCCCGCCTTGATGCTGTGCTTGTAGGCTCTCACCATGCACGGGTCGTCTGCAGCTGGAATAGTGTGGAGGTTGGGGGGGGAAGGCGCGGGGTGGGTGGGGAGGGGTGTTGCAAGTTGAGCCGACTTGAAATACACCTGGTATGACCGAATGTGCCGCGTAGGTTCAGCATCCACCCGTCTCACTGCGGTACTTCAAGGCTCTCACCATGCATGGATCGTCCGCAGCTGGTATGGTGTGGCAGGGTGGAGGGTGGGGGTAAGGGGAGGGGGAATTTGGTATGACCGGTTGTGCCGCAGAGGTTGAGCACCGACCCCACCTTGCTGCGGTAATTGTAAGCTCTCACCATGTATGGTTTGTCGGCAGCTGGTGGGGTGTGGCAAGGAGGGATAGAGGAGCATTTTGAGTCAACTTGAGATACACCTTGTATGACTGGGTGAGAGTGACGCATCACGGGTGGGTTAGTGTGTGTTACGCAGAAGTGGCTTCATGTGCGCTTCATGGGCATATGAAGTGGCGGAAGTGCAAGGGACGCAGATCGTGTCAGCAGCAGCTCACTTGCAGACGTTTATGGCTAAATGCTGCTCGACCTTCTGAACTGAACGACACCTGGTCACCACACCACTGCGGGAGCTAGACTACGGGCTAGGCACGGGTGCTCGTGTGATCTATGCGATCATCCACTTAGTCATTTACTCGTGCTTACACTACTTGCTGGTTCACAGGGAAAGTTTGTCAGACTAGACTACATCAGAGCTAGCACGCAAGCAAGTCTACTGCCAGCGCAGCACGGTCGACCGCGTGCCAGCACAACTTGGTCGACCGTGCTCCAGCAGTGCAGAGTCGCGGCTTGCCAATGCTGCAAGTCGACGGCGTGCCAACGTCGCAGGTTGACGGCGTGCCAACGTTGCTCCGCACGACAGCAGCGCACCCGCTTCGCAGGTGCTCGCAGATGATTGGCGTGCAGTGCCTCGTCATCTGCACAGCGCACACGCCAAGTCAACTTCGTGCTGACGACTGCTTCTGATCAGCCACACAGACCTCGGGATACCACCACCGAGGTCGTCCTTGCCAACATCGCCTGGGCGACCGTCGCGTGCCTTCGCAGAACCTCGTCACCCAGGTAACCTGGTCGACCAGGCAACCACGTCGACCAGCTGCTCCTGTGCGTGCCCGTCGACCACCCAGGTCGAAGCCCACTTCTAGTTGACCTCACCAGGTCGACCACTACCCCTGGTCGACCAGCTCCAGGTCGACGTCACTCTTAATCAACCAGCTCCTCGTCGACCAGCACAGTTGTCAGCCGACCCCAAAGTCGGCTACCCGAAGTCGGCGTCACCAAGTTGACGCCCTGCTACTCGACGCCCAGCTGCTCGGCGTCCTGAATCCCTCTGTCGAGGTCGACGTCGGCCCCTCCTTCGTCGACCACCATGTTCGGTCGACCACCAGGTCGACATCACACATGCTCGACCAACTACCAAGTTGACCAGCAGGCCTGGTCGGCCAACCACCAGGTCAACCAGCAGTCCTGTCAGCCGACAACCCAAGTCGGCTGCCCCAAGTTGGCGTCACCAAGTCGACGCCCTCCGCAGGTCGACTTCCCAGGTCGACCTCCCTGAAGTCGGCGCCATCCTGAAGTCGGCGCCCGTGCAGGTCGACTTCCTCACCGGCCAGCTCGCCCACTGCTGCAGGCCGGCTGCACCCCTACACCCGACCACGAAGTCGGCTCCGCCCAAGCGAGGACGGGGCCAACACACAACTCCTGTTGACAATCACCACATGCTGACACTGATTGTGTTTTGAGTCGACTCAAAATGAGTCGTGTTTGTCAGAACTAGAGCTTAAAATGGATACATTAGTAATGAGCTTGAAGCTCTTTAAGTACATCCAAGATGGGCAAGCAATGGATGGGGAGGGGAATCGTGGGCAATCTCTAAGGATTGGGGGAAATCCCAAGACAATCTCCAATCGGTGGGTTGAAGATTGCTTGGAGATCACATTTGGGTTTGGTTGGGATGTAGGTGTACACCCAACCAAACACAAAGTGCAAACTACACTATGCTAGGGTATAGAAAGTGCAAAATATGAAGTGTGAGATTCAGGGCTAACACTAATAGTGTTTAGAGTCAATGTTGCAGGCCTTCATGGCCAAATGCTGCTCGACCTCCTTAACGTGACGACACACAATGACGACACTGGTTGCAACAATCCAGGATGATAGACGGGCAACAAATAGCACCATATACTTTAAGCAATTCAACAGCACATGATGACACTGTTTGCATTCTTAGGTGCACATTCAACAGGGAGGGGTTATAAAAATTCACTTGTTCACCTTTGCTTGCCAGCACGAAAGAGTTTGCACACTTCTACTAGGGGCTACTTGTTTTTAGTTAAACGCTTCCATAAATTTGGTTGCACCACACTGTTACCTCTACCCTCGCTAAACACTGCAAGAAGACTCACACTTGACGTTGGGGTAGATGCCAGGCAGCACGTTGATGCCACACACGCCATCCCCTCCCGGCCTCTATGCCCATGCGCATGTACCCGTTGTCGCCCCACTGTGACCCCCACGAGTTGCGGATGAGCCAGAACGGCGCAAAGATGTGCGGCCGGCTGTCGTCAGTGCCTAGCATGAGGTAGCCTGTAACGAGTACGACGTGGTTGAGGTTGCCCGTGTAGCAGCCGGGGTCCTGATACTTTTGCAGCTGCAGGCACACGAAAAGGACCCACAGGAAAGAGGACAACGGTGAGGAGACATTGGACTGAAGTGCATGATAACGCTGAGAAATGGGCTGCAAAGGTGGGATGGGACGGGACGGGACGGGACGGGACAGGATGGGAGGAATTGAGCGTTTTGAAAAGGTCAAAAGGATCAAGTTGCAACTACAGGTGAAAGAGCAAAAACGCCACTGGATTCATGAGCAGCAGGCCTGGGGTATCCCTTCGATTGAAACGTGTGCACTGTCTTGCGGATGTTTGTGACATACCCCGTTGCACCCCATCATGCCCCATCATGCCCCATCATACCCCATTGCACCCCATCATACCCCATCATACCCCATTGCACCCCATCATACCCCAATATACCCCATTGCACCCCATCATAGCCCGTAGTACCCCGTCATACCCCATTGCACTGGATGGGGTTCTCACCCCGTTGTACTGAATGAAGGAGTCAGCGGAGGCCTCGATGTGAACCACCACGGGCTGCCGCTGCACGGCCAGCAGCAGGCCAAAGTAGCCCTTGAAGGCCGTGCGCTCAAACCCATTCACCACGTACTTCTTCCCCTGCACGCGCAAGAAGGTAGGTGGTGGCGTGAGCACGTGATTGTGTTCCCTATACAGACTGCAATGCCCTAATGTTGCGAGTGCATAATGAATGGCCATGCCCATTGACCGAGTGCCAGCAGCCATGCCCATAGAGCGAGTGCCAGCAGCCATGGAGGGTGCCATACCGGAGGAGTCGTGGCGAGGGGCGAAGCGAAGCCGATGCTCTGATGGAAGACTTGGAGGGTGGTGAGAGGGGGCCCTCTTCCAGCCCGCCACTGGACGCTGCCACTTCAGTCAGCCGCTTGAACGCGAGGAAGGGAGAGGAGGAGAGGGGGCCTTACCGCGAGTGTTGTGGCGGGGTCCAAAGCCAAAGCCCTGACGGGAGCCTTGGAGGGGGGGGCCTCTTCCAGCCCGCCACTGGTGGCTGCCACTTCAGTCAGCCGCTTGAACGCGAGGGAAGGGGAGCCCTCAGAGCAGCGCGGCAACCCCATGAGTGAGTAGAGCGAGTTGACTGAGAGGGATGGGTAGCTGCCGCTGCTGCTGTTGCTCGCAATGCCATATGCCGCCTCCACGCTTGCCACCACTGCGTACGCCCAGCAGCTCCCTGCGGCATGGGGAGGAGGGGACGGAAGGTAAGAGGGATGCAGCACACTTCAGTCAGCCGCTTGAAGGCGAGGGCGGGTGAGCCCTCAGAGCAGCTAGGCAGCCCCATGAGGGAGTAGAGCGAGCTGACAGAGAGGGATGGGTAGCTGCCGCTGCTGCTGTTGCTGGCGATGCCATATGCCGCCTCCACACTCGCCACCACTGCGTACGCCCAGCAGCTCCCTGCATGCAGCAAGGGGGGTGGCCGTGGAGGTTCAAAGGGATGAAGCCATCACCACATGCCTCATTGCACAAGCCTTGCTACCACCACAAGCCTAGAACGTTCTATGTCACAGTGACCCCTGCTATGCCCACCGCACAGTGACCCCTGCACTACTGTGCTCCCACCACTACCAGAGCTGCCCCGTGCTATCACACATTAACCCTGCTCGCACCATGGGCCTGCGTCTCACTCACCACAGAAGCCCTGATCAGCGGCCTGCCAGAGCTGCCCCGTGTTGCTCCACAGGGAGTAGCTGCGTGTGGTCCATGCCGCCTGCCCGTCCTGCGCCGGCGAGTACCCCGCGCTGACGTAGCGCGTGAAGGGGCTGGTGGTGGCGGGGCGCAGCGTGGCTTCTGACACCAGCAGGCCCGTGGCTGTGGGGAGGGGAAGGCGGACAACATGTATGGGAGTCACTTTTGATTCTCTCTCAGACACGCGTACCCCGTGCTCATGTAGTGCGTAAACGGGCTGGTGGTGGCGGGGTGCAGCGTGGCTTCTGACACCAGCAGGCCCGTGGCTGTGGGGAGGGGAGGGGATGGGGTGGAGAGCCAAGGGAGTTGGGAAAGGAGGACGGGCATGAGGAGGACCAAGTTCACTTGTGAGAATTCTCAAAAGTGAGTGTGGAGGCTGCCGGGTGCAGCGTGCCCGCTGACTGACACCAGCAGGCCCGTGGCTGTGGGGAGGCGGCAAGTGATGGTGGAGGCCAAGCGGATTGGGAAAGGAAAAGGGATAAAGGATGACGAGGACAGGGGGTGTTAGGAAGATGAGAAGGGGCAGGCAGGAAGCTAGTCATGCATGTGATGTGACTGATTGAAATGTGACGGGACTAGAAAGGTGGGCGGCACTATTATCATGTCATGTGATGTACCATTAATATGTCATGTGATGTACCATTAACATGTCATGTGATGTACCACTACCATGTCATGTGATGTACCATTATCATGTCATGTGATGTACCATTAACATGTCATGTGATGTACCATTATCATGTCATGTGATGTATCATTATCATGTCATGTGATGTACCATTATCATGTCATGTGATGTACCATTATCATGTCATGTGATGTACCATTAACATGTCATGTGATGTACCATTATCATGTCATGTGATGTACCATTAACATGTCATGTGATGTACCATTAACATGTCATGTGATGTACCATTATCATGTCATGTGATGTATCATTCTGATGTCATGCGATAGCATGCAGGCTGGAAGAGAAGAAAAGGATTGCACCAACTTGTTGAATTACACCGTGTACCTGGAGTATCTGGGTGAAAACTGCAGCAATTAGGGCGTATCTTGGGTTCCGTTCATGAGCACTGTTCCGGGCATGCGCGAATTGCGGATGCCCGGAACAACTCAAAACACCACTTTGGGTTCTCGGAACTCATGCGACCCCCAAATTGGCGCGAGGCTTTTCGCACCAAAATCACGACCCAAACAACAGTCGCATCCAATGGAGTGGTGCCAGAACAGTCCGAAAGTTCGTTTGCGACACACACGCAAAACACGATCGCTAAAAATGTCGGCATGTATCCCCAAATGTTGGGAGCACGATGCGGGAAATGTTAGAAACATTTCGTGGGTCAATAGGGTCATTTTGCCGAGTGGTTGGGTGCAGAGGTTTAGGATATGGTACATTGCAAAACTCTGGCACTCGACTGACGACCGCCAAAATGATGGCAGTCTAACGTGAATCGTGCAACCAGGAGATTGGTTGGGCGTGGGTCGTGCACGTCAGTCGCCTAACTGCTGCACATTGACCCAAAGCTGGGGCCGCGCGCGGCTCGGCAGCCCACTTCGGGTCATGCGCAATAACCGCATGACCGGAACAGTGCCATGAACAGTGCTCATGACCGGAACCCAAGATACGCCCTTAGATTGTGAAAGAATGTATTATGCGAAGAAATGAGAGGGTCCCACTGGGTTTGATCATCAAATGGCCCCACTGAACGGACTTCAAATGGAGCCGATGCAGACGATGTCAAATTCACTAGGATGTTGGTGCAACCCCATGGCTTGCATTCGGCTTGTTGTCCTTGTGCGTGCATGCGTGTGTGCATGGAATGATATGAGAGTATGATATGTGTTTCGCAGGTGTGCGCAACAAACTTTCAAGAACTAAAGGGATTGATTATAGTGAAGATTTAGAGCCTTGGTCTCAAGTTTCAAGTAGTTCCCAAGCTCGCCAAAATGGCAAACACCAATATAGTGAGAATAATGACATTTTACTGTGCAGTGTAACATTTCTCTTGGTTTAGGCCTTATGGTGGGTAGTTTTGAAACCCTTCGAGGTTGGGAACTGTGTGGCGCTGTTCCACATCCCTGGAACTTGGCTGTTGCAGTTTGTAGAGGCTGGGAATCATTCCCAACTCGTAAGTTGTTCCTAGTTTGTGCTTAAAGATTTATAGACCGCCGTTTACTCAAACTATTGTCATATTGTCAAATCTCAATCAACTCGAGTAATTCAAATTGCTTACTGTAGACTACAGGCGCCACATGTCAAATTTATAGCATGTTATTTGGAGCTGTGACCAAAACGCTATCACCGTTTAAAACCGCTCTGCCCAAATTCGTCTGCACTCTATCTTTCATTTTAGACACATTTGAGCCTATTGTCACTATTGCATAGGATCCCACTGGTTTTGGTCCTAGGCACGGCATGGACCCCCCTCTTACTTGCATGGCAGGACACCATGGATTCTGTGCTGGATGCTTTCTTGTGTGTTTCTCCAACTGAGGAGAGTTAAAGAGCAGCTGATAACAGGAGCGCATGCAATCTCACCTCGGCGATGTGAAAGTGTGGAGGCTGGAGCATAGCCTGCATGCAGCAGGGATGGAACACGTGGTGGGAAACAGGAGGGCACATAAAATGAGGAGATGGAGTGACACACGGTGGTGGAAACGTGATTCCTAACTCTGCAAGCTCCAATGATAGCAAAAACTGAAAGAATGTGACAGCAGCACGGGCCTCGGCAGGCTTGCCTGTCTCAACGGTTGTGATGCCAACCGTGTGCTGCTGGGTGAACTTGTCCCGTGACGAGGCCACAAACCCAAAGTAGAACGAACTGGAGTCTTCTGTAGGCTCCAGGACGTCGCACAGCGAGAGGGGCGTGGAGAGCAGTGGTTTGGCAGGCTTGGGAGAGGGCGTTTTGGAGAGGGACACATTCAACGTGCCGTTGCCTGCAGGGCTGTACTCCACCCACACAAAGTACGGCGTGCCACTGTTCAGCACTAGCTTGCTCTTTACTGCGACTTTGGAAACGGGGCTGCCGTGGGTGTTCACTCCCACGTGGTTGTCGCTCACGTCCTTGCCCTCCTTGTTCTGCCACGTGTCAAACTCCACAGCCAGGCTCGACCTGCCCATCCCTGCATACCCCATGCCGCCCAGAGTGCCGGCCGCGGCCGTGCTGGATATCACAAACGCCAGCCCGTCGCCGCCCGTCTTGCCGGAGGCGTACAGCATGGTGAAGGAGAAGTTGGCTCGGAAGTAGAGCTCGCGGCCGCAGCCATCACGGAGGACAGCGAAGGAGAAGAGCGGCAGAGGCTGGGCGGAGAAGAGGGCTCCCGTGGAGGGCGTCGTGAGGTCCGTGAGGACGCCGCCTGAAGGGAATATGATGCTCACCCGCGGGTAGGCCAGCTCTGCATAGAGGGGGTAATGAGAGAGCAGGGGTGGCTGGTGATAAGTGAAGGGTACGCGTAACGCATGTACGGTTAGAGCTGAGAAAGTGTGGAGGTTGCGCAACCGAGGATGCGCAAGTAGCAACGCTGAGCACGTATGGTGCATGGATGCATAGATTCCGCCGAGATATGCACAGATTTAGAAACGGCAGAACCTGATAAGCCGGTACCTTTCCGGATGCACGTGTCTGCCGACTCCCCATTGGTGCACCCCTCCACACAATCACACACGGGCGTCTCATCCGCCCCCTGCAACACACACGCTCCCACTCCCCCACACGGGAGTAACGTTCTGGGGAGGCCGCAGAAGGGAGCGCACTCAGTGGGTGCACGCTGGGCGATGGAGGGGCAGGAGAAGGAGGCTTTGTACGTGAAGCAGTTGGAGGCGAGGAGGGAGGCGGTGCAGGTGGTGGAAGGGGCTGAGGAGAAGAAGTTGTTGCGTGATGAGAGAGCGGAGCCAGTTGGGGGCAGGATGATGGCGCCTGAGAGCTTGTTGTTGTAGATGAGCCTGGTGGAGGGGTGGTGGGAGGGGAGGGGAGGGGACACGCCGTTATTGAGCTTGCATTGGGTTATGCAGAAGGGGACGCACTCAATGGTGGCACTGGCGCGCTGGGCGATGGAGGGGCAGGAGGAGGCGGTGCGGGAGAAGCAGTTGGTGGTAAGGAGGGAGGTGGAGCACGTGGTGGTGGGCGTGGAGGAGAAGAAGTTGTTTTGAGAAGAGAGAGTGGATGCTGTCGGGGGCAGGATGATGGCGCCTGAGAGCTTGTTGTTGTAGATGAGCCTGGTGGAGGGGTGGTCGGTGGGGAAACCACATGCCATGCTTAAGGTTGCATTGCGTCGTGCGACAATCTTGTTGAGTAAAACGCATATTAAACGACTGTAGTGAACTGAGAAGATCAAGGGGAAGAGTTGCGCTTTGAGAGAACGAGATGGGCTGAAAGAGAGGGTCAGTCAGAGAATGGCATATACACACATGCTGGTGAGCGCGGTCATTGTCGTGATTGTGCGCGGCAGACTTCCTGACAGACGGTTGCCACTCAAGTCCCTGTGGGTTGAAACAATCCCGGCACACCAGTGAAAAGAGCTTGTATCAAAAAGGCGTTTAGATACATGCACGGCGACAAGGGGTGCAAAAAAAAACCCGTTGAATACCGGCTTTGCACAAGGTGAGAGAGAGAAACATTAAAGAGGTTGAGCACAGCCAGCCTCGGGAGGTGAGAAGTTAGACCTACATGACAGGATTGTAAACAAAACCCCTCAAGTGATTGCAGAATGGGCGTGTTTGCTCACAGTAACTGAAGTTTCTTGACCTGGCCAATGGAGGGACTTTTGAGTCGACTCAAAAGTCACTTTGTGTTTGCTCACAATAACTGAAGTTTCTTGAGCTGGCCAATGGAGGGCGGCAGCTTTCCAGAGAGACTGTTCTCCCGCAGGTCACTGCAGGGCAGGGCAGGCAGACATGTGGGTGCCAGGTGTTATGGTAGTGAATGGAGGTGGCAATGTCGGAAGGCCGACCCACAGCCCGCTCTCTTCCATTGATATGTTGCTACGGAAATATATAGTGGGAAGTGGAGGTTATATGATCATGCATAGGACAGTCAGGGACTACAAGGATGCAAGATGAATGCAAGAGGAGGGGGGATGCATTGGAGGTGGGATGCAGTGGAGGTGGGATGCGGTGGCACTTAATCAATTCATTAACTTGCATTGCACGAGAGCCTTTCGAATAAAAGCTGCTGCCGGCACGGCACAGCACGTGCTCACCAGGTGCCCAGCTTCGTGATCGCTGAGATGCACTCGGGAATGGACCCAAAGAAGCTCGAGTGAACACCAATTTGGTGCAGTCGGGAATGGACCCCAATGCGGCGCCTAAAAAATCAGATTGCTCACCAGGTGACCAGCTTTGTGAGAGCCGAGATGCACTCGGGAATGGACCCTGAGAAGCTTGAGTGAACAGCAATTTGGTGCAATCAAGAATGGACCTCAATGAGGCGCATGCATTCCTGACTCGAGCCTGAAAAAAATAAGAGTGCTCACCAGGTGACGAGCTTTGTGAGAGCGGAGATGCACTCGGGAATGGACCCCGAGAAACTGTTGAGACCCGCGGATCTGCCTTGCCGTCCCGGCAGCGAACAACGGGGAAGGGAGTTGAGGTGGATAAAAGTTAGCAGCACCGAATGAACCAAGAACCAAAAGGAGAGGGAGTGGGGAAACGAAATTGCCAGCCTGGAGTCTGGAGAGGCGGAATGGTGAACTCATGAGTGATCAAACGAGGCTTTTATAAGGCAAAGCGAAGTGAAAACACGTGAACATGATTCCACGCTTACATCGCTGTGAGGCTCGTCATGTTGCAAAGACCTCGAGGAATCTGACCATTGAAGCCGTTCACTCCAACACTCCTGCACCGCACCACATTTACCCGACCAGAAGCACAGAGATTTCGATCATTGAGCATCTACCATGGAAGGCTGGTGGGTTGGGAATAAGTGCAATGGGCACATGCATGACACTTACAACCTTTTGGGTCCGTGTTTGAGAATATTTTCAACGGTCATTGAGCATCTGATTATTGAAGGCTGGTGGGTTGGGAATAAGTTCAATGGGCACATGCATGAGAGTTACAACCTTTCTGCATTGGGACCGTGGTTTAGAGAACTGCAGCCTTTCCCCTCTGCAGACATGCATGCACAGGCACTCACAATAGCTCTAGCTTCTGTAGCGATGAGATGGAGTCGGGCAGTGGTCCATCGAACTTGTTTGAGCTCATGACTCTGCAGCACATGGTTAGTTGGATGGTTAGTTGGGACGTAGACAGACAAAGACAGACAGAGACAGAGAGAGACAGACAGAGTTGGGAGTGGAGTGGAGTGGAGTGGAGTGGAGTGGAGTGGAGTGGAGTGGAGTGGAGTGGAGTGGAGTGGAGTGGTGTGGTGTGGAGTGGAGTGGAGTGGTGTGGAGTGAAGTGGTGTGGTGTGGTGTGGAGTGGAGTGGAATGGAGGATCACCAGACAGAGATGGCAGATGCACGTAGACATAGAGAGTCACAAAAAGAACTCTTCTTTCGTGGAAAGTTAGTGTGGGAATGACAGAATCGAGTTAACAATTGCATAAAAATCATGGAGTGGAAACTTCCTTTCCAGTGATTGCACCTAACCGGAGGCGGCAAATTAAAACGCAACTTAAGAACCTCCCGAAAGGAGTGAGGTGGGACTTGGAAGAATCAGCAACTTAGCACACACACATAGAAACAAGGAAATTATAAACCTTACAAAGGAGGGTCTTTCCACTCACAGGGTGACTAGGTTGGTGAGCTTTCCAAACGTTGTCGGCAGGGAGCCACTGAAACGGTTGCTTCCAACGTTTCTGAGACGTGCAAAGGTCCAGTTCAGTCATGAGTGTAGAGCTGATTTTTGAGTCCACTCAAAAGTCACCTCGTTATAATGGCAAACCACACAGGTCCAGTTCAGTCATGATTGTAGAGATAAATTTAATGAAACATGAGGATACGTGACTGGTGAAACGTGCAAGACACATGAAAGGCAAGCTATCAGGCGGTGAATCAAATATGAGTGGCAGTTTTTTTTCAGAACTTGAGCTTAGAATCCATACTTAAGTAATGAGTTTGAATCTCTTGAAGTACATCCAGGATGGGCAAGGAATGGATGGGGAAGGAAATCGGGGGCAATCCCTAGGGATTGGGGGTAATCCCAAGGCAATCTCCAATTGGTGGGTTGGAGATTGCTTGGAGATCACATTTGGGTTTGGTTGGGATGTAGGTGTACACCCAACCAAACACAAAGTGCAAACTACACTACGCTAGGATATAGAGTACAAATACAAAGTGTGAGATTGAGGGCTAACACTATCAGTTTTGGGTTAGAAAGAAAAATACCACTCTGGTTCAAATCTGACGGAGGATTGACTGCTTCTGACCTGCCTTGGAGCTCCCAGAAACTTCACCAGAAAACCAAGCAAGTGAACTACTTACAAGGCAGTGAGGTAGACGAGATTTCCAATCAGTTCTGGCATGCTCCCAGAGGTTCGAGTGTTGGCCACGTCCCTGCATGAGCATGCACGGCGGCACGGGGACCAGAAAAGTGGGGGAGTCGGGCTGACTCTCACTCACACATGCTTTGCAATCAATCCACATGTGCGCATTTCAAATCTCACTTTCTTCCACTCGTTGTTGCCTAACCTTACCGTCCCAACCTGTTTCGCTGCACTGCATTCTTCTACACCGCTGAACCACATGCACATCGCGGTGTGGCTTACAGTTTCACGACATGGTTCTGCCTGTCACACTGATGTGATGTGCCGCATGTTGGCACACCAGGCGTGTTTTGGGACTTCCCAAAGCGCCTTACAGTTTCACGACATGGTTCTGTGCATCGCATGTGACGTGCCGCATGTTGGCACACCAGGCGTGTTTTGGGACGTCCCAAAGCGCCTTACAGTTTCACGACATGGTTCTGTGCATCGCATGTGACGTGCCGCATGTTGGCACACCAGGCGTGTTTTGGGACGTCCCAAAGCGCCTTACAGTTTCACGACATGGTTCTGTGCATCGCATGTGACGTGCCGCATGTTGGCACACCAGGCGTGTTTTGGGACGTCCCAAAGCGCCTTACAGTTTCACGACATGGTTCTGTGCATCGCATGTGACGTGCCGCATGTTGGCACACCAGGCATGTTTTGGGACGTCCCAAAGCGCCTTACAGTTTCACGACATGGTTCTGTGCATCGCATGTGACGTGCCGCATGTTGGCACACCAGGCGTGTTTTGGGACGTCCCAAAGCGCCTTACAGTTTCACGGCATGGTTCTGTGCATCGCATGTGACGTGCCGCATGTTGGCACACCAGGCGTGTTTTGGGACGTCCCAAAGCGCCTTACAGTTTCACGACATGGTTCTGTGCATCGCATGTGACGTGCCGCATGTTGGCACACCGGGCATCCTTGCTCCACGTGCCCTCCCCGTCGTACCCCCGCCACGCTGTTGCCAGTGCTTCCAGCGCCAGCCCTGTAAAGGGGTAAGTGGGAGGGGAGTATGTGAGGGAAATGTGGGATGGATGGAGTTGACTTTTGAGTCGACTCAAAATTGCACACCGGGCATCCTTACTCCACGTGCCCTCCCCGTCGTACCCCCGCCACACTGTTGCTAGTGCTTCCAGCACTAACCCTGTGCAGGGTGTGTAGGAAGGGCGTATGAGAGGATTTGAGACTTGAAGAGGGAGGTAAGAATAAGCTGCAAGAACAAAGCCACTCCTTGCTCCACGTGCCCTCCCCGTCGTATCCCCGCCACGCTGTTGCCAATGCTTCCAGCGCCAGCCCTGTGCAAGGGTGTGTAGAAACGTGTGGGAGGGTTTGAGACATGAAGAGGGAGGTAAGAGTAAGCTGTAAGTACAAAGTCACTCCCTGCTCTTTGTTCCCTCCCCGTCGTACCCCCGCCACGCTGTTGCCAGTGCTTCCAGTGCAAGCCCTGTGCAGGGGCATGTGGGAGAGGCGAATTGAGATGTGAGGAGGGAGCAGGTGTGTGAATAAGCTGCGAGAATGAAGTCATGACGCAAATCTGGGGAGGGATTTCAGTCAAGGAAAATAAGAGTAAAGCAAGAAAAGCAGGACGGGTGGATGTATGCATGTATATATCAAAAGTCATCCCATGCGGTCCAACCCTTGCGTGAGGAGGACAGGGGCATAAGAGCAGAACCACAGTGTCATAACTCCAGCATGGCACAGCAAGCAGGGCAGCCGCACGATGGACATGCTATGGCATCTTGAAAAGACATACTTATCCAGTGAGCACTCAAGCCTTACTCGATGTAGAGTATTTTTTAGAATTCTCAAAAATACTCTACAGGGTAGCACGATGGACATGCTATGGCATTTTGGAAAAGACATACTTATCCAGTGCTAAGGCTCAAGCCTTACTCTCGGAATCGGGCAAGACGGCATTGCAGACGGCAGGGGAAGCCAACGTAGTGAATCATTATTTTGAAATCTCAAATGTTGTTCATATGGCATCTCAAAAGGGCCAACCCACTCACTGATCGCTCGGCCTTACACTCGGACTCGGGCAGGACAGCATCGCAGACGGCAGGGAGGCCCTGGTGGTGAATGCATTTTCAGAATACTTAAACATCGTTCATACGGCATCTCGAAAAGGCCAACCCACTAACAGACCGACCCACTCACTGGGCGCTCAGGCTTACACTCGGACTCGGGCAGGACGGCATCGCAGATGGCAGGCGAAGCCCCTGTAGTGAAGCCCGGAGCACAAGTGCACGCGGCGTTGCTGCTGGTCTGCGGCGCCTGCCAGTAGCAGTAGCCCCGGCCCGCACAGGGCGGAACGGAGGGCGGGGCGAGGCCGCAGAAGGCTGCGCACTGCTGGGGGGGCTGCTGCATTTGGAAGAAGCCGCAGGGGATGGAGCTGGCGGGGAAGCAGTTGCTGGCGAGGGAGAGAGAGACAGCCGAGCAGAAAGAGGCGGGAAGGGTGCCGGCGTAGAGATAGTTGATGCCCAGTGACCTGCGCAGTGAATTGGGAAGAGAAAGCAGAGTGGAAGGAACATTAGTCGTGTGGACAGTGGACGTGTCATCCAATTAACTCATATGCATGGAGAGGAGAAGATGATTTTGGACTGGGCAATCCTGAGTGAAATCAGAGAGAGATGAGAGACATGTTTGAACTAGAGTGTAGGGGAAGAAACAACATGTGAGCACTAACTTACAGACATTTCAACTTCTTCAGATTGAGAGGCTGCTCCGCAATTCCCCTGATAGTTGGTTGACTGACAGATCCCTGTCGAAACAGAGGGGTTGCGATTGTGTGGAAACAAACAACATAGAAAAGATATGTCAGTCCCTCCACGTGCATGTCTTGTGATAAAAGTGATCTTTTGAGACATCTCAGGAACCCTCTTTTATCACGAGGTCTGAAAGAACCTCCATCGCCATCAGTCCGTCCCCGTGCATCTCCTGTCAACAACTACACCTCTGCTCGATGCAGAGCTGCTAGCTAGTATCGACAGGCCAGCCATGAAAGTAGATTGGTGGAAGCAAGGTGGATAGGGTAGCGTGGCATGATGGGTGAGCAGGCGGGAGGCTCACACGAACCGCAGGTTGGTGAGGGAGCTGAGGGACTCGGGGATAGACCCAGCAATGCGGCGGTTAGCTATGAGTCACTTTGAGAAATCCCAGAAGTGGCTCACGCATTGCGGCCAGGCGGGAGGCTCACACGAACTGCAGGTTGGTGAGGGAGCTGAGGGACTCGGGGATAGACCCAGCAATGCGGCGGTTAGCTATGAGTCACTTTGAGAAATCCCAGAAGTGGCTCACGCATTGCGGCCAGGCGGGAGGCTCACACGAACTGCAGGTTGGTGAGGGAGCTGATGGACTCGGGGATGGGCCCCGCAAGGCGGTTGCCCGACAGGTTGCTGTGGGGACGCACAGGGTGGGGAGGAGGGATGGGAGAGGGGAAAGAATGGACGCAAGAGATTCTTGCTTTCACAAGAGGTTGTGGAAGTGTGGGGTAGCTATGAGTCGCTCCCTCCCACCACTGCCACTCCCACCACTGCCACTCCCACCACTGCCACTCCGACCACTGCCACTCCCACCACTGCCACTCCGACCACTGCCACTCTCACCACTGCCACTCCCACTGTGACACTGTTCTACTATGTCCTCCATCCACTACTCTCCCACCCCCCTCTCCGCTGCTCCTGCTTTCCCTCGCCCATGGTCCACCAGATGGACTCCACCTTCCCCTCTGTGCCCATGCGACACTCGCCCTGCTCCTTTTGCCAATGCTCCATGTGTCGGTACAAAAGACAATGCCAAGACGTCAGGATGAGACACTCAGCGCCCTGGGGTGCTTGCCCTGAGGTGCTTGCCCTGGGGTGCTTGCCCTGGGGTGCTTGCCCTGGGGTGCTTGCCCTGGGGTGCTTGCCCTGGGGTGCTTGCCCTGGGGTGCTTGCCCTGGGGTGCTTGCCCTGGGGTGCTTGCCCTGGGGTGCTTGCCCTGGGGTGCTTGCCCTGGGGTGCTTGCCCTGGGGTGCTTGCCCTGGGGTGCTTGCCCTGGGGTGCTTGCCCTGGGGTGCTTGCCCTGGGGTGCTTGCCCTGGGGTGCTTGCCCTGGGGTGCTTGCCCTGGGGTGCTTGCCCTGGGGTGCTTGCCCTGGGGTGCTTGCCCTGGGGTGCTTGCCCTGGGGTGCTTGCCCTGGGGTGCTTGCCCTGGGGTGCTTGCCCTGGGGTGCTTGCCCTGGGGTGCTTGCCCTGGGGTGCTTGCCCTGGGGTGCTTGCCCTGGGGTGCTTGACCTGGGGTGCTTGCCCTGGGGTGCTTGCCCTGGGGTGCTCGCCCTGGGGTGCTCGCCCTGGGGTGCTCGCCCTGGGGTGCTCGCCCTGGGGTGCTCGCCCTGGGGTGCTCGCCCTGGGGTGCTCGCCCTGGGGTGCTCGCCCTGGGGTGCTCGCCCTGGGGTGCTCGCCCTGGGGTGCTCGCCCTGGGGTGCTCGCCCTGGGGTGCTCGCCCTGGGGTGCTCGCCCTGGGGTGCTCGCCCTGGGGTGCTCGCCCTGGGGTGCTTGCCCTGGGGTGCTTGCCCTGGGGTGCTTGCCCTGGGGTGCTTGCCCTGGGGTGCTTGCCCTGGGGTGCTTGCCCTGGGGTGCTTGCCCTGGGGTGCTTGCCCTGGGGTGCTTGCCCTGGGGTGCTTGCCCTGGGGTGCTTGCCCTGGGGTGCTTGCCCTGGGGTGCTTGCCCTGGGGTGCTTGCCCTGGGGTGCTTGCCCTGGGGTGCTTGCCCTGGGGTGCTTGCCCTGGGGTGCTTGCCCTGGGGTGCTCGCCCTGGGGTGCTCGCCCTGGGGTGCTCGCCCTGGGGTGCTCGCCCTGGGGTGCTCGCCCTGGGGTGCTCGCCCTGGGGTGCTCGCCCTGGGGTGCTCGCCCTGGGGTGCTCGCCCTGGGGTGCTCGCCCTGGGGTGCTCGCCCTGGGGTGCTTGCCCTGGGGTGCTTGCCCTGGGGTGCTTGCCCTGGGGTGCTTGCCCTGGGGTGCTTGCCCTGGGGTGCTTGCCCTGGGGTGCTTGCCCTGGGGTGCTTGCCCTGGGGTGCTCGCCTCGCCCGCCCCTAATGACCCTGGGTGCGCCACGTGCTGTTTGCTCTCTCTATTCGTGGCACGCTGATATCTCCCAGTGCATTGCAATCGGAGAATTGCGCAACCAAGCAGAACTGTGAACTGAGGTGAGTGAATGGTAGGATCCAAGCGAAGCGGCACAATGCTGTTCAATCTCACTCACATGGAAGTGAGGTACAGCAGGTTGGCAATGGCTGTTGGAATCGAGCCGGTTATTCCACGACTGGGTGCGCTTCTGTACGATGTGCGGGTCAAGGTGAGTAGAGCAAACAAAAAGAGGGATATGAGAGGGAAAAAGAAAGAAAAGGAAAGGAAGAAAAGGAAAGAAGACTAAGAAGAAGGAAAAACCCTTCCGTCGGAAAAAAAAAAAAAAAAAAAAAAAAAAAACAAAACAAAACAAAACAAAACAAAAAAAACAAAAAAACATCTGCCATGCCTCTCTTCCACATGGAAAACCGAGAAATCACTGCCACATACCTCAATCTCACATCAATGTGAAACTGTCGTGCAACGGGAATGAAGAGGAGGCTCACAGCTTGACGACGTGGTTGTCCGGGCTGCACGTGACAAACTCCAGCTGCGCACATGGCACCAATTCTGAGATGCCTCGAAACGAAAGGAAAGAGGAAGAGGAGGCTCACAGCTTAACGATGTGGTTGCCCGAAGTGCACGTGACGTACTTCAGCTGAGCGCACGGCACCTTCCTTCTCCACGTGCCGTCGCCGTCAAAGCCACCCCACGCCACCGAGAGTGCACTGAGTGCTAACCCTGCGTGCACACAGCCAGCACACACAGCCAACACACACAGCCAACACACACAGCCAACACACACAGCCAGCACACACAGCCAGCACACACAGCCAGCACACACAGCCAACACACACAGCCAGCACACACAGCCAGCACACACAGCCAGCACACACAGCCAACACACACAGCCAACACACACAGCCAACACACACAGCCAACACACACAGCCAACACACACAGCCAACACACACAGCCAACACACACAGCCAACACACACAGCCAACACACACAGCCAACACACACAGCCAACACACACAGCCAACACACACAGCCAACACACACAGCCAACACACACAGCCAACACACACAGCCAGCACACACAGCCAACACACACAGCCAGCACACACAGCCAACACACACAGCCAGCACACACAGCCAACACACACAGCCAACACACACAGCCAACACACACAGCCAACACACACAGCCAACACACACAGCCAACACACACAGCCAACACACACAGCCAACACACACAGCCAACACACACAGCCAACACACACAGCCAACACACACAGCCAACACACACAGCCAACACACACAGCCAACACACACAGCCAACACACACAGCCAACACACACAGCCAACACACACAGCCAACACACACAGCCAACACACACAGCCAACACACACAGCCAGCACACACAGCCAGCACACACAGCCAGCACACACAGCCAACACACACAGCCAACACACACAGCCAACACACACAGCCAACACACACAGCCAACACACACGGCCAACACACACGGCCAACACACACGGCCAACACACACGGCCAACACACACAGCCAACACACACAGCCAGCACACACAGCCAGCACACACAGCCAACACACACAGCCAACACACACAGCCAACACACACAGCCAACACACACAGCCAACACACACAGCCAACACACACAGCCAACACACACAGCCAACACACACAGCCAACACACACAGCCAACACACACAGCCAACACACACAGCCAACACACACAGCCAACACACACAGCCAACACACACAGCCAACACACACAGCCAACACACACAGCCAACACACACAGCAACACACACAGCCAACACACACAGCCAACACACACAGCCAACACACACAGCCAGCACACACAGCCAACACACACAGCCAACACACACAGCCAACACACACAGCCAACACACACAGCCAACACACACAGCCAACACACACAGCCAACACACACAGCCAACACACACAGCCAACACACACAGCAACACACACACAGCCAACACACACAGCCAACACACACAGCCAACACACACAGCCAACACACACAGCCAACACACACAGCCAACACACACAGCCAACACACACAGCCAACACACACAGCCAGCACACACAGCCAACACACACAGCCAACACACACAGCCAACACACACAGCCAACACACACAGCCAACACACACAGCCAACACACACAGCCAACACACACAGCCAACACACACAGCCAACACACACAGCCAA